AGTTTATGAACCGGATTTCGATTTCGGTGCGCGATTTTGATTGGACTTTGCATAGACTCGTTAGACCAGCCAAAATGTAACTCCATAATACCAGCCTAGTTCGGCAAGGGTGGAAACTGGACTTTTATAGTCAGTTAACTCTCTTGCCTCGGGAAGATGGGTTTGGCGCTGCTTTTAACATTTTAACAGTTATATTATGGCGGGTCCGCTTAGTGATGGAGGAGAAACGAAAGCGACGTAGGTTTTAAGCGAACACTGTATGGAGCTGACAGACCGTTTTCATAATCCAGATTTTAACCCGGAAACAGCGTATCCCGGGAAAGGGGCGCAACTCTGCACAAGAGACGTTTTTGATACGGGTATCATAGTTTTGGATCTTAAAGTTTCTGTTTCGTTACAGTTTTCAGCCAAGTAACGTTTTGATAACGTTTGTAATTTAGGGTCAAATCCACACTTCAAGTGTATACTTATTTTGCCCTGCAGTTTATGTTTTTACAAGTTTGTTTTGACAAAAATACAAAAAAAAAACTGATTTTTTTAAGGAGTCGTAATACGGTTTTATTTCAGGGACCGGAAGTTCCTACTTTAGTATTGACCCTACAACTGGTTTGATGACCGTGGCCCAGAGAATGGACAGAGAGGCCGGTTTGACCTTCATCTCAGACGTGACCTTGAAGGTGACGGACGCAGGCGGCAACGTCGCGTCTGAGTCGCTCATCTTCGACATCTTGGACATAAACGACAATAGCCCTACGTTTGCAGTGGACGTTTCCTTCGTTAACGTGACGGAAAACACACCGAATGGTTGGTAGACATTTTTCAGATAAACACCTGTTGAATGGGTGAGTGAGTGAGTGAGTTGGGTTTATCGCTGCTTTTGACAATATTTGGTTTTTTGTCTGAGGAACGCCTTAAGTGGCACATCTTGTTGAAGTTCACTGCTTTGATGGATCATGCGAACAATGACGTGAGATTAGGTGAGGTTAGTTGAGGTGAACTGGGGTTTAACGTCGCGTTCAAGATCATTGCACTTATATAGCGACGTGCGTGCATGCGTGTGTGTGTGTGTGTGTGTGTGTGTGTGTGTGTGTGTGTGTGTGTGTGTGTGTGTGTGTGTGTGTGTGTGTGTGTGTGTGTGTGTGTGTGTGTGTGTGTGTGTGTGTGTGTGTGTGTGTGTGTGTGTGTGTGTGTGCGTGCGTGTGTCCCTTGTATCCGGGTTCTAATCCTCCCATGGATACACTGTGTGATGCCCATTTGTGGTGCGCCCGGCGCCCGGATTTTTTTGTTTCAACAGCGTAAAACCATACTCATTCACTCGGTTAGAAGAGTAAGTACTCTATAATGCCTTACGGTCCATATTATCTTTACTAAACGAGTGTAAGAATTCATGTATTACCCTCTCTCACTCTTAGGAAATACAAGAATACTGACACTCGTTTCGTACCATTAGTATGACACACATACTCGTGTAATAATATCTATATTCATAATTAATATGAACGCAGTTATTTTTGCCTTTTGAGTATGTATCTGTATGTCAATGTACTCCTGTGTCTCCATCAGGCCAGATACTCTACACGATCTCGTGCACGGACGTTGACGACTGGGACAACGCAGCGGTCAGCGTGACCATCAAGAGCGGAGATGCGAGCCCAGCAAGGTTCAGTCTGAGCGGCTTGGACCTAGTGACCACTGGTCAGCCCGTGGACTATGAGGACCCAGCAGTGCCCGGCAACATGTATACACTATCACTACAGGCAGAAGACGCCCCTCTCCAGGGCGACCCCTTCCTGGCTATGGCTACTGTGGTTGTGATGGTAAGTGCTGAAGCTGATGACTGTTAACCATCTTGCACCTCGCAGGCGGCATGGGCTGTATACTCCCGAGGGAGTTAAACATGAAACGGTACCCATGAAACACGAGTGCACACTGATTAGTTGACCGGGGTGATATTAACGTAGCTTCTTGAGCAGGTCCTTGGTGGTGTCCATGGGCTGTATATTCCCGAGGGAGTTAAACATGAAACTCGAGTGCACACTGATTAGTTGACCGGGGTGATATTAACGTAGCTTCTTGAGCAGGTCCTTGGTGGTGTCCATGGGCTGTATATTCCCGAGGGAGTTAAACATGAAACTCGAGTGCACACTGATTAGTTGACCGGGGTGATATTAACGTAGCTTCTTGAGCAGGTCCTTGGTGGTGTCCATGGGCTGTATATTCCCGAGGGAGTTAAACATGAAACTCCAGTGCACACTGATTAGTTGACCGGGCTGATATTAACGTAGCTTCTTGAGCAGGTCCTTGGTGGTGTCCATGGGCTGTATACTCCCGAGGGAGTTAAACATGAAACTCCAGTGCACACTGATTAGTTGACCGGGGTGATATTAACGTAGCTTTTTGAGCAGGTCCTTGGTGGTGTCCATGGGCTGTATATTCCCGAGGGAGTTAAACATGAAACTCCAGTGCACACTGATTAGTTGACCGGGCTGATATTAACGTAGCTTCTTGAGCAGGTCCTTGGTGGTGTCCATGGGCTGTGTACTCCCGAGGGAGTTAAACATGAAACTCGACAGCACACTGATTAGTTGACCGGGGTGATATTAACGTAGATTCTTGAGCAGGTCCTTGGTGGTGTGGAAATATAACGCAATATAAATGTGGTAGTAGTATGGGTGGTAGTGGTAGTAGTGGTCGTAGTAGTAGTAGTAGTAATAGTTGTATAAGTGATGGTGGTGGTGGTCGTAGTAGTAGTGGCAGTAGTTGTAGCAGTAGTTGTGATGGTAGTAGTCGTATTAGTGTTGGTGGTGGTCGTAGTAGTAGTGGTAGTAGTTGTATTAGTGGTTGTGGTGGTCGTCGTAGTAGTAGTTGTGGTGGTAGTGGTGGTCGTAGTAGTACTGGTAGTAGTTGTAGTTGTGGTGGTGGCAGTAGTTGTAGTAGTGATAGTGATGGTGGTGGTGGTGGTGGTGGTAGTAGTGGCAGTAGTTGTAGTAGTGGTGGTAGTAGTAGTTGCAGTTGTGGTGGTGGTGGTGGTAGTAGTGCTGGTGATGGTGGTTGTCATCGTAGTAGTAGTGGTGGTGGTAGTAGTGAAAAAGGGTAGGGTATCGCTTCTAACAATAATAGCAGGTGACCTACAATGGGCTCCACACATTGAACAAAGGAAGGGAAATCGAAACTTCAGCGTCAAGTCTTGACCAGAGCATCCAGTGATTGGTATAGTGACCAACATCCATGCCGTTAGAGTATACTGACAAACAATCAGCCAATCACTGGGGGCCAGTCATTACATTGCACTCCGCAAGGGGTTCACGGGGTCTGATAGATTTCAGCAAGGGTGGACTGTTAATGAGTTGGTTGGTAATTGACTCAATGTTGTTTTGCGCCGCAACCAACAAGATCGTAGCTTTATCGAACAAGTGGATGATCGCAAAAGCATAACTCTGTAAATATATATCCACTCCTTGTGTGTGTGTGTTTATGTGAGACCATGTTACCGATAAAGATACCACATTTATATATCGAATGTTCGAGTTATGGAGGTTTTCAGTGCATGTTGGTTCGAGTGAGTGAGTGAGTATGTTTTAACGCCATTGTCAGCAATATTCCAGCAACTCCATCCTCATCTTAGGTTTTGCCGGAGAACGAATTCACGCCAGTTTTCACCGCACCAACCGCATCTGATGTGACAATATCGGAGATGTCGCAGACGTCATCAGTAGTGGAAACGTTCTCAGCTACCGACGACGACAATGGAGAAGATGGGCGAGTTGTATTCGAGATCACAACAGTTACTGATCGTAAATATTTAGTTCCATCTAAACATGTTCATAATGTTTAAACGTACCTACCATTTGATTCAGATTGAGTGAGTGAGCGTGTTTTTTACGCTGCTTTTTCAACAATATTCCAGCAATATCACTGCAGGGGACACTACCAGCTTCACACATTGTACCCATGTTTGGCCACGAACCCGAGCCTTCGAGCGAACTCTTTAACCATTTAGCTACCCACCTAACCTTGATTCAGAACCGTTTTTTGATTCATAATTATAAAACAGCCTGTATGAAAAGGAATATTTTCATGGCTTGCATATTTCCAAAATGGCGTAAGATGTCCGCGGTGAAATGTGAATCACTATATGATTATTAAAAAGGTCACAGTTTCTATTTAAAATCCAACTCGAATCTCGGAATTAAAGATTATCTCTCCTGATGTTCCACCATTCATTCTCTAAGGGGAGACAATCCGTTGTTCCTCATAGTTCATTTGTGTGTCTTCCGCCTCCGTGGTCTAGTGGTAGAGCGTCCGCCCGGAGAGCGGAATGTCGGTGGTTCAAAGATGGCACTTGTTTTTACCCTTTAAGGTATAGTCGGCTTGGAGTCAGTATACTGTGTCTGAGTGGAGTATCCATGTTAAGCTGCAGCATGGTATCTTAGTGGGCCAGCACTATAAAACCGGCATTAGTCCGGACCATTATAAGCATCCAGACGCACGCATGTATGCTCGTCACTATATAAGTCGGGGCGGTCGGGTAGCCTAGTCACGCCGAAGACCCGGGTTCGATTCCCGACATGGGTACAATGTGTGAAGCCCATTTCTGGTGTCCGCCGCCGTGATATTGCTGGAATATTGCTAAAAGCGGCGTAAAACCATACTCACTCATTCACTCACTATATAAGTCACTATAATAATCTTGAATGCAATCCCGTTTCACCTCACCATGTGTGTCTTCAGTGACTTTGAATGCGTGACGCATATATACCAACCTTTTCTCGTCACTATATGGCTGAAATATGACGTTAAATTTTAACTCACTCACTTAGTTAAGTAACGTTTGCTATTCCCCAGCGTCTGGAGCTGATGCTTCATCAAAGTTCCTCATTGAAGAAACCACTGGAGTTCTCAGGGTAGCGGAAAGTTTGGACGTCGATGTGATAACGGGCGGCGTGAGCTACTACGACGTCACCGTGACGGCAGCAGACAAAGGAGTCACTCCCAAATCCATGACCAAAACTTTGCGCGTGACTCTTCAGAACGAAAACGATTTAACACCAGAGTTCATAGACTTCCCTTATTTCGTCGACGTCCAGGAGGACTGGAACATTAACGACATCATCTTGACGTTTAGCGTGCGTGACGGTGACGGCGACTCTATAACCGCAAGTCTGGTCGACGGAGAAATGTCACTGTTCTCTGTCACTGGCACGGATGTCATACTGGCGCAAAAGTTGGATTATGAAACTTCAACAAGTCACCCAGTAGTCATCAGGTAGTATTAATGAGCCTGTGTCTATCCTACTAAAAAAAAACAGCCGATACTATGGCTCATCTGTCATAAGGATACCAGGTGTTCGCGAAAAGTTGAGTGTATCCTGCCCCAACGGTGAAACCCGTCACAAACACATGCAATGGCAAGTCAACTGTTCACCTAAAAATCTTGTATAAGTCAACATAGGTAATTACATCAGCCATTATTTTTGTCACTGATGCGTCAATTGTGACTTAGCCACCGATGAGGCAGGATACGCTCACCCTTTCTCGAACACCCGGTGTCTTATTTGATAGTGATTTATAAACACGTGCTTATTATGTAGACGAAATCGTACACTGGACACTGCTTTGAGCAGAGATTTCTTGTCATTATTGAAATATTTTTGTCGCTTTAAGTTTGATTAGGTGACTGATTGTTAGCCACGTTTTGAAAAATGAGAACTGTTTATAATTCTAAAATGTTCGATAAACTGGGTTTCCTGCTGACGCAGCATTTCTGATGGCCTCCATGCTGCGAACCAGACACTGGTTGTCAGAGTTACTGACATCGTAGACGAGACCCCCAACGTTGTGACCTTCACGCCCGTGTACGTGATCGAAGAACTTCCGGTAGGGACGGCAGTCGATGGCCTTTATCACATGACCGACCTTGACAGAGACGATTCATGGACCTTCACCTTGCAGGGTAAGAAACACTATTGCATTTCAATCATATTCTAAATACGAGTAGGATATATTTGACATCCGGTTAAAATATTATTTATTTCCCAGCGTAAACAAATACATATACCCCGAAATATTTATATTTAACATTGGATAAATCACAAGCTCACTGAATCTATAGATACTGTCATGTTCCATATGTTCTGTTATGATCCACCTGTTCTGTTTTGTTTTTATATAATGTTATGGTCTGGTATCTTCCAAACCGTCCATTATGCTCTAAATATTGTGTTATTGTCATTATGGTCTGTTAGGTTCCACGTCTTCTGTAATATTCTATATATTATGTTGTGTTCAACGTGTTCTGTTATCTTCCCATGCTCTATAAACGTCGATATATTCTGTTATATTCTATGTATTACGCTATGATCTGTATGTTCTGTTATCTTCCAGAGGTTCTATTATCTTCCAAATGTTCTGTTATCTTCCACATGTTCTGTTATCTTCCAAATGTTCTTTTATCTTCCAAATGTTTTGTTATCTGTTATCTTCCAAATTTTCCGTTTTCTGTTATCTTCCAAATGTTCTGTTATCTGTTATCTTCCAAATGGTCTGTTATCTTCCAAATGTTCTGTTATCTGTTATCTTCCAAATGTTCTGTTATCGGTTATCTTCCAAATTTCTGTTATCTTCCAAACATTCTTTTATCTTCCAAATGTTCTGTTATCTGTTATCTTCCAAATCGTCTGTTATCTTCCAAATGTTCTGTTATCTGTTATCTTCCAAATGTTCTGTTATCTTCTAAATGTTCTTTTATCTGTTATCTTCCAAATGTTCTGTTATCTTCAAAACATTCTGTTATCTTCCAAATGTTTTGTTATATTCCAAATGTTCTGTTATCTTCCAAATGTTCTGTTATCTTCCAAATGTTTTGTTATCTTCCAAATGTTTTGTTATCTTCCAAATGTTTTGTTATCTTCCATATGTTCTGTTATCTTCCAAATCTTCTGTTATGTTCTAAATGTTCTGTTATCTTCAAAACATTCTGTTATCTTCCAAATGTTCTTTTATCTTCCAAATGTTTTGTTATCTTCCATATGTTCTGTTATCTTCCAAATCTTCTGTTATGTTCTAAATGTTTTGTTATCTTCCAAATGTTCTGTTAATTTCCAAATAATGTGTTACCTTCCAAATGTTCTGTTATCTTCCAAATGTTTTTTTATCGTCCATATGTATTGTTATCTTCTAAATGTTTTGTTATCTTCCATATGTTCTGTTATCTTCCAAATCTTCTGTTATGTTCTAAATGTTCTGTTATCTTCCAAATGTTCTTTTATCTTCCAAATGTTCTTTTATCGTCCAAATGTTTTGTTATCTTCCATATGTTCTGTTATCTTCCAAATCTTCTGTTATGTTCTAAATGTTCTGTTATCTTCCAAATGTTCTTTTATCTTCAAAATGTTCTGTTATCTTCCAAATGTTTTGTTATCTTCCATATGTTCTGTTATCTTCCAAATCTTCTGTTTTGTTCTAAATGTTCTGTTATCTTCCAAATGTTCTGTTAATTTCCAAATAATTTGTTACCTTCCAAATGTTCTGTTATCTTCCAAATGTTTTGTTATCGTCCATATGTATTGTTATCTTCTAAATGTTCTTTTATCTTTCAAATGTTTTGTTACCTTCCATATGTTCTGTTATGTTTCAAATGTTCTGTTATCTTCCAAATGTTCTGTTATCTGTTATGTTCTAAATGTTCTGTTATCTTCCAAATGTTCTGTTATCTTCCAAATGTTCTTTTATCTTCCATATGTTCTGTTATGTGCCAAATGTTCTGTTATCTTCCAAATGTTCTGTTATCTTCCAAATGTTCTGTTATCTGTTATGTTCTAAATGTTCTGTTATCTTCAAAATGTTCTGTTATCTTCCAAATGTTCTTTTATCTTCCAAACGTTTTGTTATGTTCCAAATGTTTTGTTATCTTCCATATGTTCTGTTATCTGTTATCTTCCAAATGTTCTGTTATCTTCCAAATGTTTTGTTTTCTTCCAAATGTTTTGTTTTCTTCCAAATGTTCTGTTATCTTCCAAATGTTTTGTTTTCTTCCAAATGTTCTTTTATCTTCAAAATGTTCTGTTATCTTCCAAATGTTCTGTTATCTATTATCTTCCAAATGTTCTGTTATCTTCCAAATGTTTTGTTATCTTCCAAATGTTTTGTTATCTTCCATATTTTCTGTTATCTTCGAAATGTTCTTTTATCTTCCAAATGTTCTGTTATCTTCCAAATGTTTTGTTATGTTCCAAATGTTTTGTTATCTTCCATATGTTCTTTTATCTTCCAAACGTTCTTTTATCTTCCAAATGTTCTGTTATCTTCCAAATGTTTTGTTATCTTCCAAATGTTCTTTTATCTTCCAAATGTTCTGTTATCTTCCAAATGTTTTGTTATCTTCCATATGTTCTGTTATCTTCCATATGTTCTGTTATCTTCCAAATGTTCTGTTATCTTCCAAATGTTTTGTTATGTTCCAAATGTTCTGTAATCTTCCAAATGTTCTGTTATCTGTTTTGTTCTAAATGTTCTGTTATCTTCCAAATGTTCTGTTATCTTCCAAATGTTCTTTTATCTTCCAAATGTTCTGTTATCTTCCAAATGTTCTGTTATCTTCCAAATGTTTTGTTACCTTCCATATGTTCTGTTATGTTCCAAATGTTCTGTTATCTTTCAAATGTTCTGTTATCTTTCAAATGTTTTCTTATGTTCCAAATGTTCTGTTATCTTCCAAATGTTCTGTTATCTGTTATCTTCCAAATGTTCTGTTATCTTCCAAACATTCTGTTTTCTTCCAAACGTTCTGTTATCTTCCAAATGTTCTGTTATCTTCCAAATCTTCTGTTATCTTCCAAATGTTCTGTTATCTTCAAAATGTTTTGTTTTCTTCCAAATGTTCTGTTATCTTCCAAATGTTCTGTTATCTTCCAAATGTGTTGTTATGTTCAAAATGATCTGTTATCTTCCAAATGTTTTGTTATCTTCCAAATGTTTTGTTATCTTCCAAATGTTTTGTTATCTTCAACATGTTGTGTTATCTTCCAAATGTTCTGTTATCTTCCATATGTTCTGTTATCTTCCAAATGTTTTGTTATCTTCCAAATGTGCTGTTATCTTCCAATTTTTTTGTTATCTTCCATATGTTCTATTTTCCAAATGTTCTGTTATCTTCCAAATGTTTTGTTATGTTCCAAATGTTCTGTTATCTTCACAATGTTCTGTTATCTGTTATGTTCTAAATGTTCTGTTATCTTCCAAATGTTCTGTTATCTTCCAAATGTTCTGTTATTTTTTAAATGTTCTGTTATCTGTTTTGTTCTAAATGTTCTGTTATCTTCCAAATGTTCTGTTATCTTCCAAATGTTCTGTTATCTTCCAAATGTTCTGTTATCTTCCAAATGTTCTGTTATCTTCCAAATGTTCTGTTCTATATAATGATATATAATGATCAGTATGTTTTGTTATCTTCCAAATATTTTGTTATCTTCCAAATGTTCTTTTCTATATATCTTGTTCTGTTCCAGGAAGTGACAGCTCCTACTTCAGCATCAACGCAACATCCGGGTCAGTAAAACTCGCTCAGAGAATTGACCTTGAGGCTCTGGCAGGTGACAATGTCCTTGACCAATTAACGATGACCGTGACTGACCAGGCGGGCCTCCAGGCAACGGTTTCGCTCAGTGTGGAAATACAGGATATTAACGATGCTTATCCTACCTTTGCGGAGTCCGTGTACAAAGTCAACATTTCCGAAAGTTCATCCACAGGTAAGGTTTAAAATATATTTATTAGGCAACTCAGAAGAAGTGGACAAGAAAGAGTTACATTCCAAAATTACGTTACAAATCAAACCCAGCCATTGTGGTATTTCCAAAAAAATACTATGTCTTTCCTTTTTTTACTCATGTGACTACCGACGGGACATAGTGTATTCCGGATTACACAATCACAGAAAGAAAAGGGGGTTAGGGTGGCCCATGGCCAGTCGCCTAAGGCAGAGTTGCGTCCCTTGGGAACGCCAGAATCCTATGATCGTTGGTTGAATCCCTGTTCGACCCGATTATCTGTCCTGGTTTGTCAGCACCATACCCATGCTCGTGGGTTTCACCGAAGTGGTAATCTCTGAGACCTGCATTACTTCGGGCTTTCCTCCCATATTAAGCTGACACGTCGAGATATAACTGGAATAATGTTCAAAGCGGCGTGGAATCCGACTAACCCACTCACTCACTCCAGTGGAGAATATGAGGTAGTTTTAACCCACAAGAAGCTTACATCCAAGTTATAGGGTCCCCCATTCCATCACATTAGATTTACATTATTCATTATTTTCTTGCAGAGATTTTGGTGGATCTTGTCGCTACTGACGCCGACTCGGGCACAAACGGTGCTGTCACTATGCAGATCACCGACGGCGACGACCCCGGAGCAAGCAAGTTCCAGCTGAGTGGCACGCAGTTATCTGCCCTTGGTGCCGACCTTGACTACGAGTCTCTGAAGGACACCCAGTATATGTACATCCTGACTGTTTCAGCAACTGACTCCCCCGCGGGCGAGGCCCCCAAAACAGGCGTTACACTAGTCGTTGTGTCGGTAAGTGGCGGTCTGTACGGCAGGGAAGTGTAAACGAGTATTAACGCAGAGTAACATCACGGCGTGTCATCTTGGTGTGGGAGGAAAGCCCAAAGGGATGCAGGTCTAAGACCCACGAACACGGGTATGGTGCTGACAAACCAAAACAAATAATAGGGTCGAACTGGGATTCGAACCCACGATCAGAGGTGTCTTGCGCGCACAGGAGACGACAGGGCCACCTGTGCCCAGTGGAAGAATCAGCTCCAGCAGTAACGGTATAACGGTAACGCTAAAAAGGTGGTCGGGTAGCTCAGTGGTTAAAGCGCTCGCTCGTCACGCCGAAGACCGGGTTCGATTCTCCACACGGGTAAAATGTGTGAAGCCCATTTCTTGTGTCCCCTGTCTTGATATTGGTGGAATATTGCTAAAAGCGGCGTAAAGCCATACTCACTATTTTTCAGAGGATTGTCATTTGCAGATTCTCGAGGTCTGTCACTGCCTGACGAAGGAGTGCAGTTTATCAATGTCACACTGAGCATGGTATCTCATTGGCCTGGCGCTATATTTTGTGCAGGTCTCTATATAAGTGCAGTAATCTTAAAAACTCCATTTCATTATCGTCACTTCACCCAGGGAAACTTCTTACTTTCAGATATTGCCAGTGAACGAGCATGCTCCAGTGTGGTCAGCGGCCCTGTCTGTATCCGGCGCTGTCCTCCCTGACCTCAACATGCTGGAGAACGTCACAGTGGGATCAGGTCTCCTCACGCTGCAGGCGACTGACGCCGACCACGGAGTCGACGGAGACATCACCTACACCATCACATCTGCGGTCACAAGTAATTGAGATATCTTCAAATGTCCAAATTAGTATTTAAGATCTCTTCAAAAGTAACTTGCAGATGTATTGGAAGCTGACCTACGTAAATATCCTTCACTCACTCGCCCATTCAGGTACCGGGGAACCTGCAGTTGACCTGTTCGCTCTCAACTCAGTCAGCGGAACGCTCCGCACTGCCGGCTACCTGGACCGTGACGTCACTACGGGAGAGATGTACTTCCACCTGACCCTCACAGCCAGAGACGGGGGCGACCCCTACAAGGAGACGTCAGCAACGCTCAAGATCATCCTCGACAACGTCAACGACAACGCCCCAGTGTTCACGTCAGCGGACTATAAAATTGACGTTGCAGAAACAACGATAGTGGGAACGGTGATACACACGTTCGACGCCGCCACCGACGTTGATGGTGACGCCATCACCTACACTGTCGTTGGGGGTCACGGCGACGTGTTTGGCATCACGGGCGTGACTGTAGAAACGTTGGTTCTGCTGGATTATGAACAGGAGAGATGCTATTCCATGGTCATAAAGTAAGTTTGTGGCTCAAGTGAGTTGCTTAACATTTGCCATTTCGTGTTTTGCTTTGATTTTATTAGCATTTTATGCCTAGTTTTCTTTGTCAATCCAACCAATCGCCTACCAGATCAGGAAAGTGACAGTCGGAATGTGATTTCTTATCATGCAACCTCGAAAATGTTAACAACAATTACGGCCTGCCGACAGATTCCGTCAAAATCATCGTCTATCTCTCGTTTCAATGGGATAAGCATTTGAACGTTGCATAATACGTGAGGCATACTGCCATACAATCCCTACCATATATTAGACATTCCAGAATGTACAGTTTTACCGAGAAATTTGTCAACATATTTTTCAAGCGAGGTTTGAAATGGAAGTCACCAATTTGAAACGTGTGTAAAAGCTCAAGAAAGCTGCTTTCTGATTGGCTAATGCCGTCTTCTTGTTAGTCATTTGTTTTGGTCGGTCAAAGTTCGCGGAAGGACGGTCTGACGTGACCTGTAATGTGATGTCCTCATTTCTTTGTTTAGCGGTAGAGAGAACTAAGATCTGATTTTGATGAGATTGGACTGAACATGTGAAGGTTAAATTGTGGTAGCCTAGTGCTTAAAGCGTTCGCTCATCGCACCGTAGCCCTGGGTGCGAATTCCCACACGAGTATGACCCGTGAAGATCAGGGGTAGAATAGGTCTTCAGCAACCCATGCTTGCCGTAAAAAGCGACTATGCTTGTCGAAAGAGGCGGCTAACGGGACCGAGTGGTCAGGCTCGCTGACTTGGTTTGAAGCATGTCATCGATCCCAATTGCGTGGATCGATGCTCATGACATCAATCACTTGATTGTCTGGTCCAGACTCGATTATTTACAGACCGCCGTCATATAGCTGGAACATTGCTGAGTGCGGCGTAAAGCAAACAAACAAACAAATTTAATCTACCAAATTTAAAACATTTTGTTTGTACAAAACATATTATTATTCGAAATTTTGCAAACAAATCAATAGCCTTTAAAACAACCTATAATTAAACGAGAATTAATACTATTAAAAAGATCCTTAATAGATGATTTGAAATGTTGAACCCCTGTGATGGAAAAATCAATACAGTCAAGCAGGACATGTGATTCTGTCATCACAAGGGATACAAAATGGAAGATCTTTACCTTTTAATATATTCTCGATTATTTACAGACCGCCGTCATATAGCTGGAATATTGCTGAGTGCGGCGTTAAGCAACAAACAAAACAAACATATGGCACAGCACAGACTTTGAAAAAACTTATTGTCCCCGAAAATCCTTTTAAAAGATATATATGCTTCAGTGGGTTTTTTGGGTTTTTTAAAATTTCCCGCTACCAAAATGACAGTATTGCAAGTATTTTTTCTTTAAAAAACTATTCAGGCTCAGATTAAGGACTGCTCCAGACTAGATTATTTACAGACCGCCGTCCTATAGCTGGAATATTGCTGAGTGTGGTGTTAAACAAGCAATCAACCAACCCACACGGGTATAATGTGTGAAGTCCATATCTTGGGTCCCCCGCCCTAAAAACCAGACTCAATCGCCCACCAGTTATCTGCCATTTCCCTGTTCCACATTCCAGGTGATGATGATGATGATGATGATGATGATGATGATGATGACAAGACCAAGATTGGGGACACTAAGATTCATGATAATGATGCTGCTGATGATAATTACATTGATAAAAAGGGTCATTATAAGATAATGACGATAAGCATATGCGTCATCACATCTGTAGGTATTATTGAAGATGTAGTTTACATTTTGATTGATTTTACATTATTTTTAATCCAGGGCGTCGGACGGGACCCATGACGTCAACGTTACCATGACGATAAACGTCACGGATGTCATTGACGAAGTTCCTGTTATAACTGTCCACAATCCTCTCACTATATCAGAAGAGCTTTCCATAGGAAACAAGCTCAGCTGGGCGTATGATGTCACAGATGGCGACAATGGCGACACCTTCACCTATACACTTACTGGTGAGCGATGTGATGAATGTAACGCGTAGGATTCGAACCGATAGGTTTCTGACGTGCCCAGGGGATCCGTCCAGCAAATTGCGGCCCTAAGACGACTGGGGTACCCTTGCCCCCATTAATTTAGGAATAACGATGGTACAAGCGGTATGGTATTAATGTATCACATATCGTGATAACTGAGTAAGAGAAATTGGGTTTAACGTCGTGTTCGAAATTATTGCACTTATGAATGTGTGTATGGCTGCTTCTACGAGCCCGCTGAGATACCATGCCGCAGTTGAACATGAATACCCAACTCAGACACAGTAACTGACTCCGAGCCGACCAGTCCTTGTTTTTTCCCCGTTTATGCCGAACGCCAGGCAGGGTAACAAGTGCGGTGTTTCAACATCTCTTGATATGACGCGGCTAGAGAATCGAACCAGGGAGCTTCCGCTCTCCGGGCATTTGTTCTATCCACTACACCACGGAACCGTGAAGATCCGGGGTAGAATAGATCGTGCCGTAAAAGGCGACTTACCGTGTTGTAAGAGGGCGACTAACGGGATCGGGTGGTCAGGCTCGCTGACTTGGTTGATGCATGTCATCGTATCCCATTTGCGTAGATCGATGCTCATAATGTCAGTCACTGGATTGACTAGTCCATCCTCGATTATTTACAGACCGCTGTCATATAACTGGATTGCCGCATTAAACAACAAACAAACAAATAAATAAACAAACACCACGGAGGAGGCCTGAGTAAAAACAAGCACAGGAATCTGAGGATTAGGATAACAAACTGAAAGATTGTCTCAATTCACAGATAAAATTAAGTGCTCTTGCCAAACCTATTGGAAATAAGCACCAGACTATAATTCACTGAAACTTGACTTGTCTTCTCCCTCTGCCTAGGACCTGACGCTGGGTACTTCAGTCTTGATTCCACCACTGGACAACTGAGCACGGCTCAACGACTGGACAGAGAGGTCACGGCTGTCCTGGGGACACTGACCCTCCGCGTGGAAGACTCGGCAGGACTTGTTGATAACGCCGACCTGGACTTCACCATCACCGACATCAACGACAACGCTCCGACGTTTGCCCAAGATGTTCACACAGTTTATGTTGCAGAAGGGGGAACAGTAGGAGGTACTAGTTTTGTTTGTTTGTTTGTTGTATCACGCCGCACTCAGCAATATTCCAGCTATATGACGGCGGTCTGTAAATAATCGCGTCTGAACCATACAATCCAGTGATTGACATCGATCTACGCAGTTGGGTTACGATTACATGCGGCCCATCCCGTTAATCGCCTTTTACGACACGTATGGGTTGCTGAAGACCAATTCTAACAAGGATGTTCGGGGGAGGAAGATACGGGTTATCACGAGAGGGGATCTAGTTGGAGGTGGAGTGACACACCTGGATACATCAATATTAAGAACTTATTAAGGTCTACAAAAATAAACCGGTGTTTGTCATAAGACATTGTATTTAGGATGTCACGAAAGAACTAAACGACTGTTTCTATCACTACAAAACATTTAAAAAAATCAGTGGGTCAAGGTAAAGTTCATTCACATTTTTTTGGACCAGCCCACAAGAAAGTGACCCGATATACAACGTTGCTACAAATGAGTCATCTTCCCGAGGCAAGAGTGTTAACTGACTTTAAAAGTCCAGTTTCCACCCTTGCCGAACTAGGCTGGAATTCCTTGGCTCGATCGTAGCGCCACCAGTGGCTGTTACGAGTTATGTCCCTTCTATGCCTCTCCTATGGACCAATCAGATTCCGCCTCTCGTCTCACTTGCTTTTGCTTCAAACAAAATGGCGGCGCCCATACAAGACGATCTGATCAACAATCATGATCTATATTGTGATAAAACGGGTCTTACATCGCGAAGTGCATCAAATCACGTGAACACCTTGATTAAAAACTTGAAAAGATTAGGAAAATATCTGTTGCCAACGAGATGGCGGTGCACATGCTTTGCAAATCCTACAATCGACCGAACTTTGCATGACAGTTTACGAACCGGATTTCGATTTCGGTGCGCGATTTTGATTGGACTATGCATAGACTCGTCAGTCCAGCCAAAACTCCATAATACCAGCCTAGTTCGGCAAGGGTGGAAACTGGGCGTTTATAGTCAGTCAGTCCTCGGGAAGATGCAAATGAGTAAAAAATGAATTTTATTTATACAGCATGTTGTTCTGTGACCGTGTGATTATGTTAATAGCCAAGAACTGATAAAAAAACAACTCTTTTCTTGATCAGGGCTAAGTTTGTTCAAATAGGTCCGTTAAAATGGGCAATTCAAATTTAGCTGACTGATAAATATGCCGGTCTATATGCAAGTTATGCATACATCAATTCCTTTGTAAATATATTAAGTGCTTATGTTCTTCAGGGGCCTCTGGGTCTAATTAACCATTTCAGACTCACCTCCACATTAAATAATGATGTTTCTGTTGTTACAACACTAGTTGACTTGGTGAATTTTGTGGTCATCGACCTCGACGAGGGAGACAACGCCGCCTTTGACGTAACTGTAACTTCCGGTAACGATGGTGGCGAGTTCCGGTTGGATGGCCTCGTTCTGAAATGCGACAGCTCGATGATGGACTACGAGACCGCTTCAGTGAACAACTACACCTACATCTTGTCTGTACAGGCTGTGGATAAGCCCACCGATGGCGGTAGTTGGACTGGGTCGACCGTCGTCGTAGTTCATGTAACTTCAACTCACATCCAAACTTTGATCAAAATTAAACATAGTGTGTTCCACCAACTCCCTCACGACCTAATGCGTATTTAAGAGATTATATGAGATGTCAATATTTTGTAAGCCTCTCTAACGATGTTAATAGTATGTACAGGCTTCAAAACTATTTACCCGTATTTAAATAGATGACTCCCTGAATACAATCCGACCTCGGCAGTGTCGGACAAGTCCATTTTATGAACGGGGGGTTACGTTTGGTATTTCCCGAATAGTCTCACAGATTTTCATGTCCATTCTATGTACCATTTCTCCCAAATACAGATTGTCATATCTGTCCCACTTTTGAATATGATCTTTCGGCCTTAGCGTTCATCTGCGTAGCCCAGCTACATATATGGGGAACACTAGACACTTCCCTCTCAAAAATAACTTCGTCAAATTTACGACGTTATCATGTTGTGAGCGCATGTTCGAATCTCCAGAAATAACACCATGATAGAACATTGTTTTATCGTGAAATAAGCAACGCTCGATTCTTCATTATCCTTTGCGATTTATCGCGTCGCTATCTTATATATGAATCGATGGACGTCACGAATAGAAGGAAAACAGTCATTGAGACATCCTTTCCATAAATATAGGAAATCTTTGCTAAAAGCAGAGTCCATTGTACGATTCCTGCTCTATCATAAATCACAATCAAATAGGGATGATACCTGGTGTTTGCGGAAAGGCGTATACTGACTCACCCGTGGCACCCTTCACAAACACATGCAAGGCAAGGCAATTGTTCACCTGAACAAACACTGAGCACATGGACCAAGTCAAAATAGGGAATTGCATCAGATATCATTTGTGTCACAATTGCGTTTAATTTGGACATTACCCCATGTCTACTTTAAAGCCTTTTGAAACATTAACAAGGCCCGGAATGTTGTAACCCTGATCAAACACACTTGGAGCAAGAGTTGTGTGGCGCTCTTTGAAATCTTTGAAGAAAGAGCATATACGATTGCACTTGAATAGACGTGGCCTCACTTCAAAAAATCACAAAATACATAAAAATTACATGAAGTGATTATTCTTCATATACGCTGAGTAGGGTTTTTGTCAATATTCGAACAGGGCACACACAGAATGAGGTTCCTACCTTGTGCCCAATTGGGTTATTGAACCGGGTCTTTGACGGGAAAGTTTTTAAGCATCAGACCACCCCCATTATGTAGTTTCTTCAAATACAGCCCCATTTTTGTACATTGAACATTCTTCGTGAAGCCAAGAATACATCTTCCCGTGGTAAGGGAGTTAACTGACAATAAAGGTCCAGTTCCACTCTTGCCGAACTGCGGCGAAATTATTGCGTCCATATTGGCTGGACTGGAAAATGCATAGTCCAATCAAAATCGCGTAAAGAAATGGACAGTTCATATACATAATAGCGACTGCCGTGCAGATTTCGGTCGACTGCCGGATTTGCAGATCATGTTTGCCATCCACAGGGCGTCGACAGGTTTTTTCCATATATTTTTTATGTTTTTAATCAGGGTGCTCAAATGATTTTGTGCACCTCGCGAGATAAGAACCGTTTTATTAATGACAAAGATCTTGATTATCGATCAGATCGTCTTGGCTGGGCGCTGTCATTTTGTTTGGAGCGAATGCACGTGATATGAGAGGTGGAATATGATTGGTCAATAGGAGAGACATAGAAGGGACATAAGTCGTCATAACCACTGGTGAAATTCCAACCTAGTTCGGCAAGGGTCAGTTAACTATCTTGCCTCGGGAAGGTGCCCAGAATAAAAATTGCGCTTTGCTGTTTCTATTGATAGTTGTGTTAGATTATAAAACATTGTATTTGACAGATTGGTCCAGCAAATGAGTTTGACCCTGTCTGGGTATACCCTGTGCCCGCTGCCGGCGTTTTCCCGGACCTGACAATACCCGAGATGCCTGTCCCTACAACCAGCTTGGTCACCTACGACGTCACCGACGACGATGACGGTGCTCATGGAGACATCACCTTTAGCATCGTATCTGCCACAACCGGTACGTTCGCTTTACCAGGTCGTTTAAATGTATCTTTTTCGGTTGACAACATATACTGAAACAAAGAAAAACGCAACATAAACTGAGCGGCAAAACAATGCTAAAGCAATGTGTTTGAATTACCAAGTGTGTGTGTGTGTGTGTGTGTGTGTGTGTGTGTGTGTGTGTGTGTGTGTGTGTGTGTGTGTGTGTGAGTTGCATAAGATATATGTAGGTAATGCATTTAGGTAATGTATTAAAATGCTCTTTTCAACAAATGAATACACCTTACCCAAACCTAACGTGTTTAGTCACATCATTCTCGCCACACCGACCCCTTTGTGTGTGTGTGTGTGTGTGTGTGTGTGTGTGTGTGTGTGTGTGTGTGTGTGTGTGTGTGTGTGTGTGTGTGTGTGTGTGTGTGTGTGTGTGTGTGTGCATGGTGCCTATAAAGCTTCTTTAAAAGTTATTGATTATAAAATGACTGCCGTGTGAAAACAAACTGCTTATCTTTTTTATGGACGATACTCAAAGTAATTAAAGACCAAGATTACATTTTCTGGAGTGTTTATTGATGATCTCTCCTGTGCGGCCCTCTGGAACCGAACTAAAATTCACTTATAGTTTTATTGGTAGCGCCAGATACGGGTATGATGTTGACAGTGGAGATGCGCTTACAGATCACCCATACAGCGTAAATCCGGAACTGCTAAAATTACGAGGCCAACCGATAATCAATAACCATTATATATCGGAGGCAACATGACATGCTAACTGGCCAAAATCTTTGAACAGGAACATCTATGATTAAACGGTATTATATTTTCACCGATAACAGTGAAAGAATGAATTAGCACCTCCGCGAGAACAAGTTAGTTTATATCACGAGTCCCTGACACGCAATGGCAAAGTATTTGATACAACGCTGTAATTCAAACAGTTATAATAAATTCAAATTTTTATTTGTTTTAAAATTAGAAACACACACACATATATTTTATTTTATTTATATATGTTTGTTGTGGTTATCTTACAAGGAAAGTTATACAGTACGTGGGAATTATTGTCCATGTTTTTTTCATTCAGAATGACTCTCTCTGAGCAGAAGGCATCTTCCCGAGGCAACAGCATCCACTAGCCTTTTAATCAGAGTCTGTAGAAACTAGTCTTTGATACAGGCTAATGGACACGCTTGCCTCGAGTTGGTCCCGAAGGTTGCTTGCAGGTTTTCACACCCTTAATTGCAAGGGTTCCTGTCATGGGTTCGAATCCCAGATTATTCCATATTATCACCATAATGCCAGTGTCACTTAGGGTTGTATTCCCATGTCTAACAGACCCTGTGATATATATGAAATACGAATCAGTGTCCACTTCATTTCACAAAATTTCAGCCGAGGGCAGCGACGCCTACAGCATGTTCCTCGTCGACCCCGTTGTCGGCTCCCTCTGGATGACAGCAACACCTGACGCCGACACACAGACCGGAGGAACAAGCAGATATGACGTCATCATCTCAGCGGAAGACGGGGGTCAAAGGTCAATCCAGGCCACACAGACAATCCACGTGACCAACACCAACGACAATCCTCCTACCATATGGGCGTCCTCACATGCAAAGGATTTGATAGAATCGACAGCTGTTGGTGCCGTTGTGTTCACCCTTGAGGTCAAGGACTTCGACCTTGACACCGTGACGTCATCAGTGATAGAGGGCGCTGATCTGTTCAGCTTTGACGGGACGTCTGTGACAACGACGGGCGTGTTAGACTTTGAGTCTGTAAGGTGTCATACCATTGTCATCAGGTAACTAAAAAATAGAAATTCTTTTTTACTAAAATTGGATTTTCCTATTTTGCGAATTTAAATTCGATGATGAGACAGCCTTGGGGTTAAATCGTTGGCTTGCCACGTCAGACCTGTTTTGAGTTCCTACGTGAAACCTATTCTTTGGGTCGTGACATTACAGGATTCTTGCTAAAAACCGACGTAATAACTTAATCACCCTATGAGATTTCCTAGCTTCACCAAAGTATACAGCTGGCTGCTTTTTGCATACCATGTCTTAGAAATACCAATTGTCCATTGCCTCTACGACGGTTTGCGCATGCGTGTTAGCACACATTTATCACGATGCATTTTAGTGTTAGATGCACGAGTAGAGTTCTTCCTATTATTTATTATAGTGCGTCAGATGGTGTTCATGACGTCAACGTCACATTGACTGTGAACGTCACCGACGGCAATGACCAATCACCGGAAGTGACGTTACACGGCGCGGTGTCTATACCGGAAGAACAACCAGTAGGGACCATCATTGGGGGACTGTTTGACGTCACAGATAAAGATGAAGTGGACAGTTTGACCTACTCTCTCAGTGGTGGGTATCGCGCCGTTTTCTACGTACACTAGAGACCCGTGAAGATCCGGGTTAGAATTAGTCACCAGCTACCTATGCTTGTTGTGAGAGGCGAGTAACAGGAATGTGTGGACATGTCGGTGACTTGCGTGTCATTGTATATTGAAGATGATGTCAATCACTTGATTGTCTAGTCCTTGACTGTTTACAAACCGCCATCATCTATCTAAGAGCAGCGTTAAATAACAAACAACAATATATATCAAATAACATACAATGATTTTATCTGAACCGGACGCTTTTGGAAATAGTGAGTGAGTGAGTGAGTATGGTTTTACGCCGCTTTTAGCAATGTTCCGGCAATATCACGGCGGGGGACACCAGAAATGGGCTTCACACATTGTACCCATGTCGGGTCTTCGGCGTGACTAGCGAACGCTTTAACCACTAGGCTACCCGACCGCCCCTCTTTTGGAAATAACATATTGACCGAGATATTATAACAGTTATAGTCATAATGTAGCAGAAGAATTAGTCTGTCTTAGAACAGACTGACGTTCCAGCGTATATCTCTTACAACTTCACGGTAAATAACTTCAAACATAAAGGTCCTGTAGGTGAGGTGAGGTGAAATTGGGTTTAACGTCGCGTCCAAGATTATTGCACTTATATAGCGACGTGCATGCACGTGTGTGTGAGTGTATGTGTGGCTGCTTGTACTAGTCCGGACTGATGCCGATTTATAGTGCTAGCTCACTGAGAGCAGTTTAACATGACTACCCCACTCAGACACAGTATACTGACTCCGAGCCGACCAGTCCTTGTTTTAGCCCCTTAATGCCAAGCGTCAGACGGGGTAACAACAAGTACCATCTTTTAACGTCTTTTGGTATGACGCGGTCGGGGATCGAACCCCGGACCTTCCGCTCTTCCGGGCGGACGCTCTACCACTAGACCACGGAGGCGGTCTAAAAGGTCCTGTAAACAATGATATATCAATATAGTATAATTCATACACTTCAGATGAAAAACAGAACAGATACATTTATCTTTGTCGAGGGACATCCGGATAGCCTTGTACATGTGGTAAGAGTGCTCGCTCTTCAAGCCGAGGTTCGATCTCGATATGGATGAAACAGATTCTTGTTATACCCTGCCGTGACATTGCTTGAAGATGACTAAAACCCACTTTGGATAATAAGAGATCTTGTTTCCATTTATTGAAGCTATTTACCTTTTGTAGAACACAGGATTGAACGTTTCCACTTATTCTCTGGTATTCAATGTATTTTTTAAAATTAAAATAAAAAATTAAAACATTTTATGACAACTGATTAACTGCGCCAGCGGTTATGTTTCTTCAGGCCCGGACGACCAGTACATTGAGATAGAGCCCAGTACAGGAGAAGTGAAGGTCAAGGCCAGAATAGACAGGGACGGAAGTAGTGGAGTTACCTTACTTGACGACCTGACCTTGACCGTGACAGATCTTGCAGGTCACAGCACAAGCGCTAACTTGAACGTCAGTGTGTTGGACGTCAACGACAACGCCCCCGAGTGTACACAGACAGTGTTCCGAGTCAACATCACCGAAGGGGAGCCAGATGGTAGGACACCTGGTGTTATCACCGCTTTCAGACATTTACTCATTCATGTATTTTTCATCATTTTGTTTGCCTTTGGCGCGAATGGAATTTGTTTCGCAGATAATTGTGACTGGTTGTTCTCTAGGCTTGACGTTACATATTTACGCATGGAAGCTGTATGTGAAAGCTTACGCGGCATGGACCAAATTGCATAAAGAGATCTTATATTAGACCTACGACGGCCGTAGGCCAGTGTTTAAGGTAAAAGAGCGATCGTCTTAGCGCTAAGATAGATTTGTGCAGGTAGGACTTCGTCTGCACACGAGGTAATCTCCCGGCCTTGATGAAAATAGAAATACAGTTGACTAATTTGAAGCGTCGTCTCAAAGTTAAATAAAAAAATTATATTGCCCTCCAAAATTATTGAACAAATAATTATGCTTCATCTTGATGCAAATACAGTTGTCACAAAAATGACATTGTTGCAATATTTTGGTTCATAATTTAATTTTTTTTATCTAGTCCCAATACAATACACAAACTCACATACTCTTCATGTTTGGTTCATTTCAAAATCTTACCATAGCAGTGTTTGGTACATCTTCCCGAGGCAAGAGCGTTAACTGACTTTAAAAGTCCAGTTTCCACCCTTGCCGAACTAAGCTGGAATTACTGGGCCCGATCGTAGCGCCACCAGTGGCTATTACCAGTTATGTCCCTTCTAAGCTTCTACCTAAGGACCAATCAGATTCCACCTCTCGTGTCACTTGCGTTTGCTACGCAAAATGTTGGCGCCCAGTCAGGACGATCTGATCGATAAGCAAGATACAAATTGTGATAAAACGGGTCTTACATCGCGAAATGCATCAAATACGTGAGCACCTTGATTAAAAACATGAAGAGATTTGGAAAATATCTGCTGACAACGAGTTGGCGGTGCACATGCTTTGCAAATCCTGCAATCGATCGAAATCTGCACGACAGTTTACGAACCGGATTTCGATTTCGATGCGCGATTTTGATTGGACAATGCATAGACTCGTTAGTCCAGCCAAAATGTAACTCCATAATACCTGCCTAGTTCGGCAAGGGTGGAAACTGGACCTTTATACTCAGTTAACTCTCTTGCCTCGGGAAGATTTGTTTGGTATGGACTAGATTACATAAAGCATAAGAATAGATATCGATCCTATTATCAGAAAGGTAAGGTTGAAATGGGTTTAACCTCGCTTTCGAGAGTATTTCACTTATATAGTGTGTGCCTTGCACTCGTCTTTGTAGTGCTAGCCCACTGAGATACCACGTCGCTGTTTAACAGACACATTATACTGACTTCGAGCCGACCAGAACTTGTTTTATCCCCTTAATACCGACGGCCAGGCAGGGTAACAACAAGTACCAACCAGACGCTCTATCCACCACACTCAGCATCATGACGACTGCAACAACAAGTATTTCAAAGCAAACGTTCGTTTGTCAATAGCCAGAAACTTATACAGTGGGATCCCATCATACCAGCCAAACTTAAAATCTTTCTTCAGCTGCAGCCACGTGTGTTTCAGGGAAGGTAGCCACATTATCATGCTACGACAACGACTCCGGCGACAACGGCAATTTTGTCTTGTTCATCACTGACGGTGACGACCTGAACTACTTCAGCCTCGTGGGGTTGGAGGTACACGCTGCCAGCTCCACCATCGACTACGAGAGTATCGACACCTCTGTCCCCTACATCGTCACCGTCGGCGCCGTCGACCAGCCCACGACAGAAGCTGCCAAAACCGGCGCTGTAACAATCATAGCTCAGGTATGGTTTCATAACACTCATACCTTTCTATGTAAGTGCAATAGGTGGCATAATGAGTTGTGCAGAGTTGCGTCCCTTGTCCGTACAGGATCCGCATGTACTAGGTTTGAATCCTACAATGTTGTCTTTGGTTTTTCGACGGCAACTCCCTCACCCACTTCATGGTAAACGATCCTAAATGCATCAAATATTCAAGTTATTTAGGTGAGATGAGTGATTGAGTGAATGAGTGAGTGGGTTGGGTTTAATGCTGCTTTTAGCAGTATTCCAGTTATATCACAGCGTGTCAGCTAATGTGGAAAGAAAGCCAGAAGTGATGCAGGTATCTGACATTTACCACTTCGGTGAAACCCACGAGCACGGTTATGGTGCTGACAAACATAATCGGGGCGAACCGGGATTCGAACCAACAATCTTAGGTTTTTGGCGTGCCCGAGGGACGCAACTCTACACAGCGAATCGCGGCGCCTTATATTAGACGACTGGGCCGATCGTGCCCCCCTAGGTGAGATGAAGCGGTGTTTAACGTCATGTTCAAGATTATTGCCGTTATATAGCGAGTACATGGGTGTGTGTGTGTGTGTGTGTGTGTGTGTGTGTGTGTGTGTGTGTGTGTGTGTGTGTGTGGCTGCTTGTACTTGTCCCATTGGAATCAGGTGCTGCAGTTTAACATGGATACCTCATTTAGACACAGTATAATGACTCCGAGCCGACCAGTCCTTGTTTTCGCCCCTCAATGTCGAACTCCAGGAGGGTAACCAGAAGTACCATCTTTAAATGTCTTTGGGTATGACGCGGCCATGGCTTCGAACATCCGACCTTCCGCTTTTAGGGCGGAAGCTCTACCCACTAGACCACACAAAGATCCTATCTGGTCATTTAAAGACTTTGGACGATGATATATTAATGGAACATTATGGCTTAACCAAGTGTATGAAATCTCCTCAAACATTTTACTCGTTAAATATATTCTGAATTGTTGTGCGAACATGATAAATTATTATTACAGTGCGTTAGTTGTCCTTGGCGTCATCGTGCTCATGCTATCTGCCATTGGTTTGTCTTCTCGATCTGTCACGTGGCTGGAATATTGATTACTACGGCGTAAAACCGCATTCACTTGACATGCATTTCAAGCATAATGTGTATAGGAACGCTATCATTCAACAGATGTGCTATTATATCACACGTTCATCGATATAAATAAATTACCACGTGGTCATAACGATTCACTATCTGTACGTTATTATTCAAGATATTACCCGTCAACGAGTTCGATCCTACATGGGTATCCCCTGCGCCTACGGGCGTTCAGTTCCCGGATGTAACAATATCAGAAGCAGCAGTAACGACAAGCATCGTGGCCTACAATGCTACCGACGATGACGGCGGTGACCATGGAAGAATCACTTATAATGTTATATCAGCTACAACAGGTATAGTACAAATTTAGTACTTTTGGGGTTGAGTCACATCGAGGATTCGAACCCAGATTGAGGCACTAAATCGCTAGCACGCAAAAGCAGTCTAACCCACTCGGCCACCGAGGCTTCCACATGAAAAGTCCGACAACATGTAGTATGGGTTTACAGTTATCAGTGTGGTACACAACGTACGTGATCTAGACTACCAGTTGTCGGATGCAACCATTAGATGCAAGAGGGACGGTGTGGTAGCCTAGTGGTTAAAGCGTTTGCTCGTCACGCCGAAGACCCGGGTTCGATTCCCCACATGGGTACAATGTGTGAAGCCCATTTCTGGTGTCCTCCGCCGTGATATTGCTGGAGTATTGCTAAAAGCGGCGTAAAACCACACTCACTCACTCACACTTAGATGCACTTAGAGTTCCTGTCATTGGTTCGAATCCCAGATTATTCCCTATTATCAACATAAGGATAAATATCTATGACCAGTGTCACTTAGGGTTTTCTCCCACACGAACTATTTATCAGTGTCCACTTCATCTTACAAACTTTCAGCCGAAGGCAGCGACGCCTCCAGCATGTTCCTCGTCGACCCCGTCGTCGGCTCCCTCTGGATGACAGCCACACCTGACGCCGACACACAGACCGGAGGAACAAGCAGATATGACGTCATCCTCTCAGCGGAAGACGGGGGTCAAAGGTCAATCCAGGCCACACAGACAATCCACGTGACTAACACCAATGACAATCCTCCTACCATCTGGGCGTCGGCTTTTCACCATGAAATACCCGAAGACACGGCAGTTGGTGCCGTTGTGTTCACCCTTGAGGTCAAGGACATCGACCTTGACACCGTGACGTCATCAGTGACAGAGGGTGCTGATTTGTTCAGCTTTGACGGGACGTCTGTGACAACGACGGGTGTGTTAGACTTTGAGAATGAACGTTGCCATACGGTGTTAATAAGGTACTTTATATTTTTCGAGATATACATGATATTGTACCCCAATGAACCGCCATTATCTTCTGATTTTTACCCAGTTAATATCGGGGAAGGATACGTGTTTTTCATAAGGGCAACCCAATGACGAGGGGTTATAATGTGTGACGTTGCTGAGAAGAAGAAGTTTATTCTCGTGAATCAGTAAATAGTTCCCGAAACACCATATGGAGCTGATAAGTCATTTACAAAATACCTGACCCGTGAAGATCCGGGTTAGAATAGCAATTCTTCAGCAACCCATACTTGCCATAAAAGGCGACTATTCTTGTCGTAAGGGGCGACTAACGGGATCGGGTGGTCAGGCTCGCTGACTTGCTTGATGCATGTCATCGGATCCCAATAGCGTAGATTGATGCTCATGATGTCAATCACCGGATTGTCTGGTCCAGACTCGATTATTTACAGACCGCCGTCATATAGCTGGAATATTGCTGAGTGTGGAGTTAAACAATAAACAAACAAACAAACAAAATACATGGTAACGGTCACAATAACATATTAATACATACATAGACATTTTTTTATATATTTAGCTTTTTTATAAGTTGAGAATGTCATACCCAGACGTAGTGAATCGCTGTTGATGCTCATTAACCATTGGTTTTCCAGACTCGATTATTTTAAGACCGTCTTTATATGGCTGGGCCATTTGTAACTGCGGTGAATAACAACATTCACTCACACTCAGTGAAGTCAGCCATTGATGGTAAATCTCATTGCATTCAGTACAGCCACCGGATGCCATGGGCCTGGGTTAGAATAGGTCCCCAATACTCCTTGGCTTCTGGTAAGAGGTAATTTATTTTGATTTGGTGATCAGGCTCCGTGACATTGCGTGTCATCGCAACTCGATGCCGTGGGACGTTGCTCATAATATCAACCACTGGTTGTTTCTGGCCTCGCTCGATAATGCAGAGGCCATCAGGGTACAGCTTGAATATTGGCGAATGCGGCGTAAAAAACAGACAAATACACACCTACTTTTCATTGGATATTGCGTCATCCCTTATCATTAACATCTGACGCTAACCTGATTATTTTCCAAAGGTGAGTGTTCCGACTGTGCATGTCACGTCGAAGTATAAATTTTGATGACCTGCATTTCAGTGCATCTGACGGCGTCCATGACGTTAACGTGACTTTGACCATCAACGTCACAGATGTCAACGACAATTCACCGGAAGTGGCGCTTCACAGTTCGGTGTCCATACCGGAAGAACTACCGGTGGGGACTGTGATTGGTGGAGTGTACGACGCCACAGACAAAGACGACGGCGACACCTTCAGCTACACCATCAGCGGTGCGTATAGAGAACAATGGTGTACATTGGAGGGCCACAAGATCTGAAAGTATCGATGAAGTATCAAATGAATGAACTGAAATCGTCTTTAAATTGGATTTATTTATTTCGACAGCAACCCGAGAAGATCCGGGTTAGAATAGGTCTTGAGCAACCCATGCTTGTCGTGAGGGCGACTATACTTGCCGTAAGAAGTTCTAACGGGATCGGATGGTCAGGCTCACTGACTTCGTTCATGCATGTCATCGTATCCCAATTGCGTGGATCGATGCTCTTGATCTCAATCACTGGATTGTCTGCTTCAGACATGATATTTACAGACCGCCGTCATATAGCTGGAATATTGCTAGTGCAGCGTTAAACAACAAACGAAATTAAACATGTTTAAATAATTATTCTAAACACAAATTCGTAACATGTTTCCGGCTCACGAATTAAACTGTCGATATTTCGGTTAACAAGGGACATTCATCGAATTTAGATGACTTGTACATGTGTAGAAATGTGTTATTTATCAATCTACGGCCAGAAATGTGCTTGTCGGTATGCGTTTCATGAAGAAATCGACCTGGATATCGAATGTAAACAAACCGGCAAGATGGCGAGAGACGCATCTTTTCTCTACTTACATATAGGGGTATATATTTTTATTTACTGACCAATAACGAGTTCCTGTGATCTTTGTTTAGAGGCAGCGAGAGCTTAGATTTCATTTTAATGAGATGGGTGAATACACTTTATCAAATGACAAATAAATGTTTTTGTTTTTGAAACTCAGATGGCGTTCATTTGTTGCATGGAAGTTTTTACAAACTGATCACGAAGCGACAAAACTTAGGGTCCTCCAATTGTACAGATTATTATCCCCTGCCACAGAGTAAAACATCTTGGAAGATCTTCAAAACCGTACAATATTTCTTGCTTTGCACAGAACCGGACACGTCATATTGGCGGGGATATGAGTATTTCATTTGTTTTGGTGTGCGATTACATTGCTGACCACATGTGAGTGAGTAGGGTTTTACGCCACTTTTAGCAATATACCAGCAATATCACGGCGGGGGACACCAGAAATGGGCTTCACACATTGTACCCATGTCGGGAATCGAACCCGGGTCTTCGGCGTGACAAGCGAAAGCTTTAACCACTAGGCTACCTGACCGCCCTGACCACATGTGGACATGGCCGCCAATAACATTAACTGTTTCTTTGTGACAGGTTCACACAGCCAGTACGTTGAGATTGACTCGTCAACAGGCGACGTGAAGGTCAAGGCTAGGATAGATAGGGACGGGAATAGTGGAGTTACCGTCCTTGATGACCTGACCTTAACCGTAACTGACCTTGCGGGACACAGCAGCAGTGTGAACCTCAACATCAGCGTGTTGGACGTCAACGACAATGCCCCAGAATGCTCACAGACTGTATTCAAAGTCAACATTACTGAAAACTCGACAGATGGTAAGTGCATCTATAAGATTATGTTGAATTGTAAATCCTCATCAAAAGGGATGGTTTTCGACTTTTCCACAGAAGGCAGTGATTGTTGACGATCAGGGAGGTGACATCCAGTTGAACATGGTGGTAGTCCGGTCGGACGGACCGTCTGTCAACCTCTTGTGGGGTGAGGGAAGGTCCCTGCGGCCAAACTCACACATTGACAGTCTCTAACCAATCTCATTAAAATCAGATCCTAGTTTTCGCTACCGCTAACCAAAGATCTGAGGACATCCCATACCGGGTCACGTCAGAACGACCTTTCGCGAACATTGACCGACCAATGAAATGACTGACAAGAAATCGACATTTGCCAATCAGAAGGCAGCTATCTCGAGCTTTACGGCACTAATTTCAAACTGGCGACTACACTTCGAAACATATTTTTAAAACTGACCAAAACAACATTCTGGAGTGGCTTATAGATGGCATAGATTGTATGGATATGATCATAAAACAGTAACTGTCGTTCGGAATACCCTCTGTTAAATATTTCGAGGTTGCATGATTAGAAAACACATTTTGACTGTCACTTTCATGATCTGGTAAGCAGCGCTCTGATTGGTTGGATGAAAGCTCGTGCTGACGTGACCCGCAATGGGATGTCCTCAGATCTTTGTTTAGCCGTAGCGAGAACTAAGATCTGATTTTAATGAGATTGGTCTGTAACATGACTGCGCACAACTATTTCTACTGGGGATTAAATAAAAATAACGCAGTTTCCTCTTTGGTCACGTCCTGGTGATTCCCTTAAAAATCCAGGTAAGAACTGGTCTTCATCAACCAATGCTTGCCGTAAGAGGGGACTAACGGGATCGGGTGGCCAGGTTCGCTGATATGGTTGATGCATATGATCGTGTCCCAATTACGTAGATCGATGCTCATGATGTCAATCACTGGATTGTCTTGTCCAGACTCGATTATTTACAGACCGCCGTCATATAGCTGGAATATTGCTGAGTGCGGCGTTAAACAACAAACAAACAAACAAACGACCTTGTTTTGCTCCGTGATATGACTGAATATCGGCGTTAAATCCATGCCACTTTGTTACAAATGTCGTTTTTTTATAAAAAAAATTTACAATTACAGAACGACACGAAAAAAACAACAATTTGTTGAACGCACCAATAATTTTAGTGTTTTGTTTTGTTTTCAGGGATGGTAGCGACATTATCATGCTACGACAACGACTCCGGCGACAACGGCAATTTTGTCTTGTCCATCACTGACGGTGACGACCTGAACTACTTCAGCCTCGTGGGGTTGGATGTACACGCTGCTAGCTCCACCATCGACTACGAGAGTATCGACACCTCTGTCCCCTACATTGTCACCGTCGGCGCCGTCGACCAGCCCACGACAGAAGCTGCCAAAACCGGCGCTGTCACAATCATAGCTCAGGTATGGTTTCATACCTACCAATGTAAGTGGTATAATGGCATGATTATTTGTGCAGAGTTGCGTCCCTTTTCCGTACAGGATCTGACACAGTCTGTTTACAACTTGTCTGAGATACGGTTCAGGGAATCGTACTACAAAACGATGTCATCACTTCGACTGTCGTTCCATACCTTCACAATGACATTGGCAATAGTCGTAGCGCTGAGGTCGCTCTGTGGAACGGTAGACGGTTTTAGCCCCTTGATGCCGAGCAGCAGGCAGGGTAACAACATGTACCATCTTTTAATGTCTTTAGGTATGCCGTGGATCGAACCCCTACCACTAGACCGCGGAGACGTGTTAGCTATTCACTTCACAGCGACTGCCACTAATACTGTCTTAGCCATTGAGGGGATACATCAGTCAAACGCACATAACAACGCTTTCATTTGTCAGATATTAAGACCTACTCTACCCCGGAATCCACGGCTGGTGTAATGGTCGGTAAGGTTCAAAAGTTGTTAAACAACATGAATGTCATATAAATGCGGGGACGTTTGTTTCGATTTTTGAGCGACTACACCGTGATTGTACTACACGCCCGCATGCTTGGCGTCGACTTACCCAACGTCTTCTTTCTACCTACAGATACAGCCCCAGAATGAGTTCAGCCCCGTCTGGGGGAGTCCGCAGGTTTTCATTGCTGGTACCTTCCCTGACCTCACTGTACCCGAGGACACAGCTGCTGGTTCGGATGTTGTCAAGGTCACAGCCGTAGATGATGACGCAGGAGAAGATGGTGACGTTACATACGAGTTTACTTCTGTGACTGACGGTATGTTCTGTTGTTTCTATCCCCTGATTGTTGGGACATAAAACACTCAGCTGATCGTTAATTGCCGAATACTCTCATCATGATACACACAAAACTACAATCCACAACTTGACATATCCCGACATATACATGACAAGGTTAAGGTCAAGGTCACAAAATGACCTCATACCAAAGGTCAAGGTATCTAAAGTAAAGCTGTCTACCGATATGTTTGAACATTGTTTAACACCGCAGTCAATATTACATCTTCCCGAGGCAAGAGAGTTAACTGAGTATAAAAGTCCAGTTTCCACCCTTGCCGAACTAGGCTGGTATTATGGAGTTACATTTTGGCTGGACTAACGAGTCTATGCATAGTCCAATCAAAATCGCGCAACGAAATCGAAATCCGGTCAGTAAACTGTCGTGTAGATTTCGGTCGATTGCAGGATTTTCAAAGCATGTACACCGCAAAATGGTTGTCAGCAAATATTTTCCAAATCTTTTCATGTTTTTAATCAAGGTGCTCACGCAATTTGATGCACTTCGCGATGTAAGACCCGTTTTATCACAATAGAACTTGATTATCGATCAGATCGTCTTGACCGGGCGCCGCCATTTTGTTTGATTCAAATGCAAGTGATACGAGAGGTGGAATCTGATTGGTCCATAGGCGAGGCTCAGAAGGGACTTGACTCGTAATAACTACTGGTGGCGCCGCGATCGAGCCCATGATTTCGGCAAGGGTGGAAACTGGACTTTTAAAGTCAGTTAACTCCCTTGCTTCGGGAAGATGTCAATATTACGGCTATGTCACTGCAGAAGGTTCACAAGCAGGTTTCTGCCAAGGAATCACCCAATGACACAAAGCTTAATGACACATAGCCAGGTCTCACGGTGCAAGCACCCAATCCATGATTGCAATCGGCACCTATTCCCAGTCACCCAGCAAGTTTATATCCACGTTTTATAATGTGATTAGTGTTCAAACACACCGCTGCATCCGTTAATTCCAGAAACTGGAGCGGACAGGAGGAATCTCTTCTTCCTGGACACATCCACGGGTCTACTTACAACATCAGGTGTTCTGGACAGCGACTTAGCAACGGGCGGGCTTGAGTATTTTGACGTAGCACTAAAAGCCAGCGACGGAGGATCCATCTCAAACGTCATAACGACGACCCTAAAACTGACTCTCACAGGGGTGAACGACAACGCTCCCGTCTTCAGGAACGCAGCGGCAGAGGTGACAGTGAATGAGACGGTATCTCCAGGAACGGACATCTACAAACTAGAGGCTGAGGATTTCGACGGTGACAGTGTTGACTTTGAGCTTATAGGCGGTTCAACCACCCTGTTTCAAGTGGTAGGATCGGATCTTCGACTTCTACAGGAATTGGACTATGAGACTCAACATTGTCACACTATTGTGTTCAGGTAAATATATAACGTCAACGCGAGAATAATCAGTCGCGATTACTTACCAAAATTGAGTTGCTGACAAATAGAAGGAAACACATCTACACTTGTATTATGTAGAAGAAAATAAATCGTCGAAGTAAATTTCGACCTGAACACTCGTGTTATCACTCCATCCGCAGGTGACCCGTGAAGAGCCGGGGTAGAATAGGTCTTCAGCAACCCATGCTTGGTGTAAAAGGCGACTATGCTTGTCTTAAGAGGCGACTAACGGGATCGAGTGCAGCGACAAACAAACAAACAAAAACCAATATTTATTTCTTTGGGCGTAAAGGGCAAAATAGTGATGAACATTGTATGAATGCATCACTGAAAAGGACAAAAGTGATGACACCAGGTATTGGCGAAAAGGGTAAACATGTTCTGAGGGTGTTTGTGAATGGGATGACACGATATCTCCAAAGCGCTGCATTTACCTGTGCAGAGTTGCTTCCCTTCCTCGAACCAGGTTCCGGTGGTCGTGGTTTGGGATGACATATGTGACATATGTCTAATTAACGATCCTTGACTTTTCAAGTATTTGTTGACGTCAAAGACCGGCGTCAAAGGCTTTCCTTCAACACAACGCCAAAAACCCCGATATATATTAACTTCAGATTTGTTTATGTGTTATATATATAATAGAGTCTGAACCAGTCTCCACATTATCAGCATAAATCTACGCAATTGAGATACGATGTCATGCATCAAACCAGCCAGCAAGCCTGACCACCCGCCCTTTTGTCGTAGCCTCTTAGAGCAAAGCCTAAACACATATTGAACAAACAAGGGTTGCTGGAGACAAATTCTAACACTGATCTCCACAGCGTTAAACCAATCATCCTCACTCCTTCAAGGGCGTTTCACAAAGCGATCGGTCTCAGCACTGATACAGATATTAATGTTTGAGAGGGTTAAGGTACCTTTGTGACACTCGACCCTGGACGTTCCCGTGATGTGGCGATACGAGAACATAATCCTCTCGATGTGTTGACTATGGAATTCTAAGATTTAAACTCAGGCCACAAATACAATAACCTGAATGTTTGCAGTGCCAAAGACACCACATACTCTGCAAACGTCTCCCTGACGATCAACGTGGGCAACGTGATGGACGAGCAGCCGGCGATAACGCTGATCCCTCCCCTGGTACTGTTGGAGGAACTTCCGGTCGGGATGGGCGTGGGCGGCTTCCTGTCAGTCGAGGACCCGGATGCAGGAGACATCCTCGCCTACAGTATCTCAGGTGGGAACCTAGACACAAGCCTTTATATATCAAGTATATAAACGCGTGCCTGATTGTACTAGGTCGGACTAATGCTGGTTTTATAGTGCTAGCCCAGAGGGTTACACGGCAGGGGACACAAGAAATGGGCTTCACACATTGTACCCATGTGGGAATCGAACCTTTGAAGTGACGAGCGAACGCTATTACCACTAGGCTACTCCACCGCCCGTGTCAACTAAACTAATAAAATAAGATCAGATGGTCAAACTCTGTGTCCTGGTTGTTCGTTGCTCGTGATATCTAACTATCCATCTATTTTCCATCCACCCATCAAACAATCCATCCATACGCCCATCCATTTACGTGTGAGGAATGACCCTCGGTTGACTGCAGACATTTGATTTACGTTGTTCGTTCATATTCTAATGCTATAATGGCAGGCACGGGATCCGACTTCTTCAACATTGACAGTTCCACAGGGGCATTCAGCATTGCTAAGCGGATTGATCGAGACAGCCCAGGAAACGTGACTCTTGTTGATGACCTTACCTTGACCGTGACAGACTCAGCGGGCTTACAAGACTCGGTAACCTTGAACTTCTCCGTTGTTGACCTCAATGACAACACACCTATATGCGGGGTCACTTCCGGCCAGGTGACTGTGACGGAGAATTCAGCATCAGGTACACAAGAAGCATTTGTTCTGTGTTACTTCTATCTGTAAATGTGGATAAAATCGGACATTATCAAGTCTGCATTAAGGAACACAGTAAAATATAAAAATAATTATTATTGAGTTGCTGACAAATAGAAGGGAAACACATCTACACTTGTATTATGTAGCAGAAGATATCGTCGAAGTAAATTATGACCATCCGCAGGTGACCCATGAAGAGCCGGGGTAGAATAGGTCTTCAGCAACCCATGCTTGCCGTAAAAGGCGACTATGCTTGTCTTAAGAGGCGACTAGCGGGACAAATTAGGAAGCTCCTTCATCACCAATATTTTTTACATTCTAGGTCTTGTTTTGTCCGAGATCACTTGCAATGACGTGGACAGTGGTGACTTCAGCACCGTCGCGATGTCCATCGACAGCACCAGCGACCCCAATGGTTACTTCCAACTGTCCGGCACACAGCTTATTTCGGGAGTTAATGCTGTCGATTATGAGACCTTGGGGAGCACAGATTACATGCTGAATATCAAGGTCTTAGCGATAGACAATCCTAGCGGCGACATCCAGCTCACAGCGACATCTATAGTTTCAATCAAGGTAGATAACTCGTATTTTATACGTACTTCCGCCTGCATAATCCTAACAGTATGACACGATGGTAGGTGAAAAATGATTTATCGTTATTTATTTCAAACTGGAGTGGAATAAGTATGGCTAGGTTAAAATTAACATTCACAATGAATGAGTGTTCGTATGAAATAATTTACAATGTGATTATTGCATCGCCACCGTGTTTTGTCTTCAGCAACACATTCTTGTAAGAGGCGACTAACGGGGTCGGGTGGTCAGGCTCGCTGACTTGGTTGATGCATGCCCCAGTTGCGTTGATCGATGCGCATAATGTTAATCACCGGATTGTCTGGTCCAGATTCGATTTTCTACAGACCGCCGTCATATAGTTGAAATATTGTCTGAGTGCGGCATTACACAACAGACAACAACGTAATATTTTAGCGACACCCGTGAAGATCCCTGTTCGAATTGGTCTTCAGCATCCCATTTATGTTTTCCTCAATTTGAAAGGGGATTTAGGTTGTTTTATGATGCACAGGTACTCCCAGAAAACGAATACACTCCTGTGTTTACGACACCGGTCTTAGGCGGAAGCGGATTGTTCCCTGACGTCGCTGTGTCTGAGGATGTTACCATGGGAACAGTTGTAACTTCATTCAACGCCACAGACAGTGACCACGGTGACGATGGTCGGGTTGTCTATGCAGTGACGTCCATCACAACAGGTGGGTCATCTGTAAACCGTTAAGGTATAAGGTGCTATTCACCATTGCGATCTTAACTTGGCAAAAGTTTAACACAGGCTTGCCATCTCCTTGGCCATTAGATCACTCTGTTTAATGAGACTAAGGGCAAGGCATGGGCGGTTTTTTTAAGGTCTTCTTCTCGTTGACGTCTTATATTTACTGAAGCTCTATCGCTGTATGTTTAGATTCTGGAACCCAGATAACCGGAACATTTACAATAGACACATCAAGTGGCGAGTTGAGAGTTTCCGGGCAGCTGGACGCTGATGCCGTCACAGGCGGCGTCAACTACTACACCGTCAACATCACTGCCACAGACGCAGGCTCTTCACCTCGCTCTATCCAAGGTGCTTTGAACGTCGACGTCACAGGGGCCAATGACAACCCGCCCTTGTGGAACATCACTGTTCAGGAAGTGGACGTTTTTGAAAACGCCAGTGTCGGAGATGACGTCGTCTTTCTGATGGCCGATGACGCCGATGGAGATTCAGTGACCTTCAGCACTTCTGATACCAAGTTCAAGGTTGACGGGTCAATGTTGAAAGTCGACCAGCAACTAGACTTCGAGCAAGAACGTTGCCATGCTGTTGTTATTAGGTGAGAGTACACGTGTCAAGAATATGATCGTATTGGTTACTTATCAGTGTAATTAATTCAGTTTCAATTTAAAATGGATTAATTTATTATACACAGTCATTGATGTGTACAAATTACAGGAAAAATTGGTTGTTATATTAGTCTGTTGGTTTTCAATGATCTTTATAATACAAGAACATTAATACAAGCTGTAATTGGTCTTCAAACACCGTGATCTTTTTCTGTAGCGGTACGTTCCAAATTCCAATGTCTAATGTTCTAATGATATTCTGAAGTAATTAATTGTATTCATTTGGTATTTACAGACTCAAAAAAGACCTTTGTCCAATTCAAAAAAAGTCATCTTTGCTCCTCGGTAGTCTTAGCGCTAATGATATCATAATGGGTTTTTTTATCTTGTTTTTTTTTACTTGTGTCATCGAAGCAATAAACTTGGCATCACGATCCAATAAATATGCGATTGACGTTGCGTAGTAGGAACTACTTTTAAGCTCCTTACATTGGTTCAATACCTTATTTCTAAAACACACTGTTGACTTATGTTCACAATATGCTCACATAGAGGTTCATCGTGTTTCTGTAAAACAAACATAGCTGCAAGAAACTTGGCACTGTATGATTAACTTTGGCGATGCACACAAACACTGTACTCATAAATGGCTTCAAGGGTTACTTCATTGAGTGAAATCACGTCTTAATCACCCATTATTTAAACTCCCCAAACTCCAATAATTAACACACAAACAGATTAAGCGATTCCGAAGAACAAATAATGTATTTATCGTGACCTGATTATTCTCGGAACCAGCGCCACAGACGGAAAGTACACGGTGGACCAAACTCTAGTAGTCCACGTCTTGGACTCAAACGACGAGACTCCTGTCGTCACGGTTACCAAGGTGATATACATTCCTGAAGAGATTCCAGTGGGGACGGACGTCGCGAGAGGCTACATCGTCAGCGACGCGGATGAGAACGACACCCTCACCTTCAGTCTCCAAGGTATAGTACGACTGACCGGGTACACTTATTTGATTGTTGCGACCCGTGAAGATCCGGGGTAGAATAGGCCTTCAGCAACCGAGTCGAGTAATCATTCATTGACCTGACGAAACAAGTCGCAATCATACAATATTATCTGTTTGGGATTTTTTTGTTTGGTTAAGTTCTAGGCTTCAAGATCGGTCGAGTAGCCAAGTGGTTAAAGCGTTCGCTCGTCACGCCGACGACCCGGGTTCGATTCCCGACATGGGTACAATGTGCGAAGCCCATTTGGTGTCCCCCGCTGTGATATTGCTGGAATATTGCTAAAAGCGGCGTAAAACCAAACTCACTCACTCACCCTAGGCTTCAAAGGAAGAATGTATGAAGTTCTATGTACTAGAATAAATATGTATGGCTAAACAAGCCGTACCAAAACCTAGTATTAACCTTCCTATTTCACCTGTATTTCCCCCTTAGTTTGCCATTGCCATTATCATTTCAACTATTAACTTCCCATTGCCGACCCGGAACAACTTCCGACCCGTGAAGATCCGGGGTAGAATAGATCTTCAGCAACCCAATGCATGCTTGCCGTAAAAGGCGGGTATGCTTGTCGTAAGAGGTGACTAACGGGATCGGGTGGTCAGACTCGCTGACTTGGTTGATGCATGTCATCATATCCCAATTGCGTGGATCGATGCTCATGATGTCAATCACTGGATTGTCTGGTCTAGACACGATTATTTACAGACCGCCGTCATATAGCTGGAATTTTGCTGAGTGCGGCGTAAAACAACAAAAAAATTACAAAAAACAAAAATTAACAACTTCCAGTTTCACTGTTGTTAATTTTCCTTTGCCCTGTATTCAGCTTTTTATTTCCCTACTTTTACAATTCTCCTTTCCTTATTGTCAGCCTTCAATTTACTTAATAATATTCCTTAGATACCTGCCTTTAATAATATTATTATTGTTTCCCCTGTATTCACCATTTACCTAATTTTAAATGCCTGGTGTTTTTTCATTAGGTACAGATAGTGGTCTCCTGGCGATAAACAGTTCGACAGGGGAGATATCTCTCAAGGGAGCGCTCGACTTCGAGTCTTTAGCGTCCGGTATCCTTGACGTTATTCTTCACGTCGGCGACGTCGCCGGCCATACTGTGACTCAGGCGTTGGATATCGTCATCACAGACGTCAACGACAATACCCCCGTATTTAGCAAAGCAGTGCACAGCGTGTCTGTGACAGAGAATTCCACTGGAGGTAAGGAGAAATGCCATTTGCTCATGAATTCTTATGTAAAAGTTATGTTTGTTTGTTGTTTAACGCCACACGCAGCAATATTCCAGCTATATGATGGCGGTCTGTAAATAATCGAATCTGGACCAGACAATCCAGTGATTAATATTATGAGCATCGATCCACGGAATTGGGATCGATGGCATGCATCAACCAAGTCAGCGAGCCCGACCACGCGGTCCCGTTAGTGGCCTCTCTCGACACTGCTGAATTGAAAGTGGTGGTCACCATGAATACGACGTAAAGGCGTCAACAGACAAGTTCGGTGCTACTGTTCTGATCTCATGCTGGAAAAAGGGAACATTCATGCAACGAATGTTCCCTTTGTTCCTGTTAGCCGAGGCCACGTGTGGCCCAGTCGTCTAAGGCGCCACGATTCACTGTGCAGAGTTGCGTCCCTTGGGCACACCAGAAACCTATGATTGTGGGTTCGAATCCCGGTTCGCCCCGATTATGTTTCTAGGTCTATCAGCACAATACCCGTGCTCGTGGGTTTCACCGAAGTGGTAAACGCCTGAGACCTGCATCACTTGGGGCTTTCCTCCCTCATTAAGCTGTAACTAGAAATATTGATATAACAAGAATACTGTTAAAAGCGGCGTTAAACTCAACTCGCTCACTCACTACTGCTAGCCCGTCAAAAACAAGGTCTAGATACTACCTACATATTTTACACTATACAACGGCCATCACAAGCTCTGTAAAATCGGTCGGTACTAAAATAAACTGTATTCACAAATACACACGTACAAGAGGTTCGTATACCAAATGCCAATGTACGTATACCAAATGCCAAAGTTCCTTTACCAAATGCCAAAGTTCGTATACCAAATGCCAATATTCGTATACCAAATGCCAATGTTCGTATACCAAATGCCAATGTTCCTATACCAAATGCCAATGTTCCTATACCAAATGCCAATGTTCCTATACCACATGCCAAGGTTCGTATACCAAATGCCAATATTCGTATACTAAAGGCGTGATCGGAGGGCGGTGGAGGGTTCGATTCCCGACATGTACAATGTGTGGAGCCCTTGTTTGGTTACTTCCAGGATATTAATGGACAGAGACATCATTGTACCAGATACACTGACACTGACTGTGTCAATGAATTTGTAATTGAAAAATGTTTTTCTGGTTGACCAGAGACGCTGGTTTTAACCCCCAAAGCAAGGGGCGCTGTCATTGGCGGCAATGGTCATTACTTTTCAGCATAAGCGCCGTTAGAGTGCGTGAGAATGATTTTACGCCGCTTTTAGCAACAATCCAGTAATATCACGTCGGGACACCAGACATGGGCTTCACACATTATACCCATGTCGGGAATCGAACCCGGGTCTTCGGCGTGACGAGCTAACGCTTTAACCACTAGGCTACCCGACCGCCACCTATTAGAAGTTTAATCTTGTATCGGTATAATCGTTGTCCGACTTATACAGAGAACCTACTGCTGACCCTCACTGCGACCGACGCCGACACCGGAACCAACGGACAGTTTACTTTCAACATCAGCGACGGCAACAACGACGGAATGTTCCGACTTGATGGAGACGACCTGTACGTGCAAGTCTTGGACTACGAGGCAGGATCGTCCATAAACTTCACATACTCCCTGACTGTCACCGCCATCGACCACGCAGCCCATGCAAGAACAGGCGTCACCGTCGTCATTGTGGAGGTATATGTGTATTCAAACGGTCGTTTATTTGCAAATGTCTTCCGCTTTCCAAATAGACGAAGAATGAAAAAAAATATATCCGATCCTTTTTATGTAGGTCTCCCCTGAGAACGAGTTTGTGCCAGTGTGGAGCAGTCCGTCTGTGGATGCTGCTGGATACTTCCCCGGTTTAACTGTGGATGAGGATGTCGGCCTTGATTTTGACGTTGTCACCGTTACAGCGACTGACGCGGACCTCGGAGAAGACGGTGATGTGACGTACAGCGTTACGTCAGTTGTGTCAGGTACGAGAGATATGACTCAATATACATCATTGATGCTCATGTTCAATCAACGTCCTGTACTAAAACCGTTGCTTTTATGACATACAAACAAGCAGCTCTGTATTTCGTCAACCCAAAATATTTCGACAATTTTCGACAGATTTTTATTTCCCCATACAATTAAATTTCAACCCCCTAAATTTTACTAAATTATTATCAACTCTGCACCATGTTTACAGATACAAATAGCAACATGCCAGGTGTCTTCATTATCGAATCTGGAACAAGCAAACTCAAAACCAGTTCTCTCCTTGACTTCGACCAATCAACGGGAGGGGTGAAGTATTATGACGTCACGATCACCGTCTCCGATAAGGGATCTGTTCCAAAGACCACCTCAGCAATTCAACGTGTCAACCTCACCAACGTCAACGACATCACACCACAATTTTCAAACGACACCTACACCGTTAACGTAGCCTGCAACGTTGTTGCGGGGACATTACTCGCGACGTTGTCGGCAGATGACGAGGACACTCCGTCTCTTGTTTACGGAATAGAAGCAGGAACCAACCCCTTTGTGTCTGTTGACAGTGTTTCAGGGGAGGTTACTCTCATAGCCTCACCAACAGGTGGCGCTGTTACAGACTTGGCCCAATCGATACCGTTATTGGTGTCCGATGGGGGTTCCCCAAATCTAGAGGGAAAGGGTCACTTGTTGGTTCTTTTTGAAAACTGCGACACCAATAGCGACTGTGACAACGACACCAACGTCTACGCTCCTGTATTCTCTCAACATCTTCACACTGTCAGGATTGCCGAAAACGCGACTGGAGGTATGTTTATCACAATCGCCTCTGTTAATAAGGAACTCCCCCATTATTGGCGTCTTCCAGCGTCCTAATGATTGAACATTGCTAATATCTGTGTAAAACCCCACTTACTTAAAGCATATTCCATAGTAACGATACGATCTGAAGTTCATTTGTATCAGAGGGCACAGGTGGCCCAGTCGTCTAAGCTGTCGCAATTTGCTGTTCAGAGTTGGTCCTTTGCACCTATGATCGTGGGTTCGAATCCCGGTTCTCCCCGATTATGTTTCCAGGTTTGACAGCACAATACCCATGCTCGTGGGTTTTACGAAAGTGGTAAACGTCTGAGACTTGCAAGGGGCACGGGTGGCCCAGTCGTCTAAAGGCGCCACGATTCGCTGTGTAGAGTTGCGTCCCTTGGGCACGCCAGAAACCTATGATTGTGGGTTCGAATCCCGGTTCGCCCCGATGATGTTTCTAGGTTTGTCAGTCTATACCCGTGCTCGTTGGTTTCACCGAAGTTGTAAACATCTGAGACCTGCATAACATCGGGCTTTCCTCCCACATTAATCAGACACGCCGTGATATAACTGGAATACTGTTAAAAGCGCCGTAAACCCAACTCACTTACTCACTCACTCACTGAGACCTGCATCGCTTCGGGCTTTCCCTGACATTAAGCTGACACGCCGTGATATAACTGGAGTTCACACGCCGTGAAATAACTGGAATACTGTTGAAAGTGGCGTTATACTCACCTCACTCACTCATCATTTGAACTAATCAGTATAATCGTTGTCCGACTTGTACAGAGACCCTACTGCTGACCCTCACTGCGACCGACGCCGACAACGGAACCAACGGACAGTTTATTTTCAACATCAGCGACGGCAACAACGACGGAATGTTCCGACTTGATGGAGACGACCTGTACGTGCAAGTCTTGGACTACGAGGCAGCATCGTCCATAAACTTCACATACTCCCTGACTGTCACCGCCATCGACCACGCTGCCGATGCAAGAACAGGCGTCACCGTCGTCATTGTGGAGGTATATGTGTATTAAAACGGTCGTTTATTGGCAAATGTCTTCCGCTTTCCAAATAGACGAAGAATAAAAAAAAATATATCCGATCCTTTTTATGTAGGTCTCCCCTGAGAACGAGTTTGTGCCAGTGTGGAGCAGTCCGTCTGTGGATATTGCTGGATACTTCCCTGGTTTAACTGTGGATGAGGATGTCAGCCCTGATTTTGACGTTGTCACCGTTACAGCGACTGACGCGGACCTCGGAGAAGACGGTGATGTGACGTACAGCGTTACGTCAGTTGTGTCAGGTACACAAGTCGTCCATGTAATTCATCTTCCCGAGGCAAGAGAGTTAACTCACTTTAAGTCCAGTTTCCACCCTCGCCGAACTAGGCTGGCATTCCTGGGCTCGATCGTAGCGCCACCACTAATTTTATCGAGTTATGTCCCTTCTATGCCTCTCCTATGGACCAATCAAATTCCACCTCTCGTATCACTTGCATTTGCTTCAAACAAAGTGACGCCGCCCTGTCAAGACGATCTGATCGATAATAAAGATCTATATTGTGATAAACGGGTCTCACATCGCGAAGTGCATCAAATCAAGTGAGGACCTTTATTAAAAACATGAAAAGATTAGGAAAATATCTGTTGACAAGTTGGCGGTGCACATGCTTTGCAAATCCTGCAATCGACCGAAATCTGCATGACAGTTTATGAACCGGATTTTGATTTCGGAGCGCGATTTTGATTGGACTATGCATATACTCGTTAGTCCAGCCAAACTGTAACTCCATAATACCTGCCTGGTTCGGCAAGGGTGGAAACATGACGTTCGTCGTCAGTTAGCTCCCTTGCTCGGGAATTTGATGCGATACATCCTCAGGTGGACGGACATGAATTATTTAAATGATATAACTTTATAGGACCCAATAACATTACTTACAAAATACAGAAAACTTTGCTTCCGAACAGTTTAAAGTTAGGATATTAGGTTTCATGTGATTATCCCAAGGCAATCTTATTTGTCAAACACACGACTTAATAGTGTAAACTGACATGGGTTAATTGAGATATAAACATACTGTGTTTTCAATGTAGAGCTGGGTTACCTGTAGATTTAAACGTGCTAAATTGAATTTGGAACCAAACGAAGCGTAAGGGTTTTAAATGTTAAATTGAGTGCGGCTGCATCTACAGGTAACCAAGCTCTACATTAAAAACACCGATTTGTTTATCTCCATTCTACCATGACTGAACAAAATCCATCTGTCAGAATAACGGAGCGGTCAAATGTCATGAGAATAACACTGGAATACAAATGTCAGCCCATAGGAACTTTACTAATTATCATCAACTCTGCACCATGTTTACAGATACAAATAGCAACAAGCCAGGCGTCTTCATTATCGAATCTGGAACAGGCAAACTCAAAACCAGTTCTGGTCTTGACTTCGACCAATCAACGGGAGGGGTGAAGTATTATGACGTCACGATCACCGTCTCCGATAAAGGATCTGTTCCAAAGACCACCTCAGCAATTCAACGTGTCAACCTCACCAACGTCAACGACATCACACCAAAATTTTCAAACGACACCTACACCGCCAACGTAGCCTGTGCCGTTGTTGCGGGGACATTACTCGCGACGTTGTCGGCAGATGACGAGGACAGTCCGTCTCTTGTTTACGAAATAGAAGCAGGAGCCAACCCCTTTGTGTCTGTTGACAGTGTTTCAGGGGAGGTAACTCTCATAGCCTCACCAACAGGTGGAGCTGTTACAGACTTGGCCCAATGGATACCGTTATTGGTGTCCGATGGGGGTTCCCCAAATCTTCAGGGAAAGGGTCACTTGTTGGTGCTTTTTGAAAACTGCGACACCAGCACAGTTTGTAGTAATGACACAAACCTCTTCACGCCGACATTCTCAAAGTCACTTCACACAGTCGCTGTCCCAGAAAATGCCACGGCAGGTAATTGAAATTCAAAAGAAAGTTTAAATTAAAGTTGTTGTTGTGCTGCCCATGATTTAAGAAACTTTTAGTCAGACATTTAATATAAACACAATTTTATCGTTCCCGCATTCGCAGTTGCTTATTTGATATTATAAGTGATGATTACAACTTGTCTTCACAATCTAATGGCAATGTTGATTAATCACTGGCTTGACAACGGTATGATGATCTGTACCGAAACGTCGCCTTTACAGTACTTAAAGAAGTTGTTATCCATAAATTGTGTCAACTCAGTTTGTTTGTTTGTTGGTTAACGCCGCACTAGCAATATTCCAGCTACATGACAATGATCTGTAAATAATCGAGTTTGAAGCAGACAATCCAGTGATTGACATCATGAGCATTGATCCACGTAATTGGGATACGATAACATGCATCAACCAAGAAAGCGAGCCTGACCACCCGATCCCGTTAGTGACGGGGCGACTAGAGGGATCTGGAGGTCAGACTCGCTGACTTGGTTGATACATGTCAACGTATCCCAATTGCGTGGATCGATGCTCATGATGCCAATCACTGGATTGTGTGGTTTTAGCTCGATTATTTACAGACCGCCGTCATATAGCTGGAAAATTGCCTAGTGCGGCGTTAAACAAACAACAAAAACAAACGATACATCGTCCTTGTTATAGAAAAATGTTTACTGTTAGATATGGTATCCTAATGTAGATAATTATGTTTTCCCTGATCAACCAGAGAGCCTAATACTGACCTTCACTGCGACCGACGCCGACAATGGAACCAAAGGCCAGTTTACTTTCAACATCATCGACGGCAACAACGACGGCATGTTCCGTCTTGACGGGGACGATCTGTACGTGCAGGTCGTTGACTACGAAGGCGCCGCGTCGGTAAACTTCACCTACTCCCTGATCGTCACCGCCGTCGACCACGCTGTTGATGCCAGAACGGGTGTCACTGTTGTCGTGGTTGAGGTAAATATTCGCCTGACGACTAAGACCGGGGATGTGTGTGTTTGTTGTTTAATGCCGAACAGTATTCCAGCTATATGACGTCGGCTTGTAAATTATCGTGTCTGAACAAGACAATCCAGTGATTGACGTCATGGGATACGATGACATGCATCAACCATGTCAGCGAACCTGACCACCCGATCCCGTTAGTTGCCTCTTACAAGCATAGTCGCCTTTTACGGCAAGCATTGGTTGCTGAAGACCTATTCTACCCAAGATCTTCACGGGTGTAGGGGGATTTTTTATGTTCAACCTGTGGCCACGTTTCCCAAGGTCAGTTCGATGCTATATGTACGTGTAAGTATAGTTAGGTCAGTCGTAATTCCATGTGGAGATAGGTCTATGCTAAGTTTAGGGAGTTACCAAAGTCGTGGGCCAATTAATGTGGACAGTGGGTTAGCCTTGTGGTTAAAACGTTCACACGTCACATCAAATGCTAGGTTCTATTCCCCACTTGGGTGCAATGTCTGAAGCCCATTTCTGGTGTCCCCCGCTGTGAAGTGGCTGTAGTATTGCTAAAGACGGCATATACCAATCCTGAATCGCACTCACTCACTCACGAAAGTCATCACAGGTGAGATGAAATGGAGCTTAACGTCGCGTCCAAGATTATTGCACTTCTATAGCGACATGCAAGCCGTGTGTGTGTGTGTGTGTGTGTGTGTGTGTGTGTGTGTGTGCTTGTACTAGTCCGAACTAATGCCGATTTTTTAGTGATAGCCGACTGAGATACCATACCACATTCATAGATTAACATGAATACCCCACTTAGACACAGTATACAGACTCCGAGCCGAGCGGTCCTTGTTTTAGCCCCTTAATGCCGATCGCCATGCAGGGTAACAATCAAGAAGTACAATCTTTCAACGTCTTTTGATATGACACGGCTATGGAATACTGTAAGGGACATTCTCGCGATCTCGCATTCTCGCGATCTCGACCTATGGAAACGAGCTAAATATGCCCAAAACACGAGAATGCGAGATCGCGAGAATGTTGAGATTGAATCCCGGACCTTCCGCTCTCCGGGCGGACGCTCTACCACTAGACCACTGAAGCGGTCTAAAATCATTGTAAAGGTATAGGAGTCTGTATACTAATAGTATTCAAAAGAAGTAAAGAGCATCCGATTCTTCCATATATAGATTAACTATAGTCATGAAAGAATCGTGTATTCTTTAACTTCTTTTGAATAGTATACTTGCAGGTCATCACAACAAAGCGCGAAACCTGCGGATGGTTGGTTGGTTGGTTTGTTGTTTAACGCCGCACTCAGCAATATTCCAGCTACATGACGGCGGTCTGTAAATAATCGAGTCTGGACCAGACAATCCAGTGATTGATATCATGAGTATCGATCCACGCAATTGGGATCAATGACATGCATCAAACAAGTCGGCGAGCCTGACCACCCGATCCCTATAGTCGCCTTTTAAGGCAAGCATGGGTTGCTGAAGACCGATTCTACCCGCTCTTCACGGGTCACCTGCGGATGGAGTGAGAACACGACATTCAGGCCATAATTAACTTCGACGATTTATTTTCTTCTACATAATACAAGTGTAGATGTGTTTCCCTTCTATTTGTCAGATTACGCCCCAGAACGAGTTTGACCCTGTATACCAGAGCCCGCAACCAGACACTAGCGGTGAATTTCCAGTATTGACCGTCGATGAAGATGAACCCCTAGGATATGAGGTCATCGTAGTTACTGCCACCGATGCTGACCTCGGGAGCGATGGCAACGTTGTTTACAGTATCGACTCGGTCTTGACAGGTAAACTAATTAAAAGCAACTGCGGCGGACGGAATAAGAATAGTGTTTCAGAAAATGATTAAACACATACCTTGGCCTTGCATGCACAAAAGGGACTCATCACTGGATGTCCTGAAAAGTGGGTTTAACACTTCCATTCAGAGAAAAACTATGTACGTTTTGAAGCACTTACTGTAACCATAAATACCAGTCACCCGGTGTGTTTTATTTTAGCCACATCGTCCATCATGTATGCTGGTCTTTACCTAAGTAAAAGGGACAAAACCATTTCCATAACCCGTAGTAATCTTCGCTAAAAGCACAGTCCAGTGATTCCGACTGTATCATGAGCATGTGTTTATGAATCACTATCCAACGGTGAGGATACCGGGTGTTCGCGAAAAGGAGAGCGTATCCTGGCACACTGGTGGTACCCATTACAAACACATGCAAAGGTAAGTCAATTGTTAACGTGAAAAATACGGGAACATAGGTTACAAGTCAAAGTAGGGAATTGCGTCAGTCGTCATAACTGGTTTATCTGATTCTTCGGAAGTCTTAGTATGGCGCTGGTATCGATACATGGATGTTGGATCCACTTGGGGTGCCGTTTATTAGAGTGACCGAGAATGGTTTTACGCCGCCTTTAGCAATATTCCAGCAATATCATGGCGGGGGACACCAGAAATGGGCTTCACACATTGTACCCATGTCGGGAATCAAACCCGGGTCTTCGGCGTGACGAGTGAACGCTTTAACCACTAGGCTACCCCACCGCCCCCGTTTATTACAAAAAGGCACATAGAAACGCAAGTGAATTTTGATTTTCATGGAAAGCATTCGAGGCTCCATGGTTGTTTCTTAAACTGCAGTTTGGCGACCCATTATCTCCATATTTGTGTCCCTTTTTGGCAGTTAACATTACATTTTGATACAGACTAAAGTAAAAAATGCATCGTTATTTCAATGGGAAACTTTCATGAAATATTTTCATTAAGTGACGTTTCTTTTGCTGTAGAGTATATATCTAGTTTCAAATGATAAGAGGATGTTCAGTAGAGCTTTCTTATAAATCAATTGCGGTTAAATTTTTGAATAAATACGAGCTGCCAGTTTTCTGGCTTATGTTTGGCTGAAATGAAGATCGCCACCAATGACATATATTTACTCATGATCAGGTTTAGAAAAAAGTTATAAATGCTCCAATACTATAATAAATATGTGTAGTACTTCACTCATATATTGAAACTTAAATAACTGGAAGTTGCAATTAATCTGTTGATTGTTTCTAACTAGCTGGTTTAGCACACCCATGTCTCTCAAACTGTATATTAGGTAATTGTTCCTCCAGTACTCTGGTGTCTTTAACAAACCGCTAAATTTAGGCTCCCGATCCGCCGGGGCACGGGTGGCCCAGTCGTCTGAGGCGCCGTGATTCGCTGTGCAGAGTTGCGTCCCTTGGGCACGCCAGAAACCTGATTGAACATTGCTTACATATGTGTAAAACCCCACTTACTTAAAGCATATTCCATAGTAACGATACGATCTGAAGTTCATTTGTATCAGAGGGCACAGGTGGCCCAGTCGTCTAAGCTGTCGCAATTTGCTGTTCAGAGTTGGTCCTTTACACCTATGATCGTGAGTTCGAATCCCGGTTCGCCACGATTATGTTCCTAGGTTTGTCAGCACCATACCCGTGCTCGTGGGTTTCACCGAAGTGGTAAACGTCTGAGACCTGCATCAATTCGGGCTTTTCTCCCACATTAAGCTGACATGCCGCGGTATAACTGGAATACTGTTTAAAGCGGCGTTAAACCCAACTCACTCATTCCCGCCCAGTGGATTTCGCTGGTGTAAATGAGATGATCTTCAATCAAGTGATATGTCTTTCAGATACAGGTGCCAGCGAGCCAAACAAATTCACCATTGATCCATCCACTGGACGCATGACAACGTCATCTCATTTGGACTTTGACCCTTCGACTGGGGGAACTGGTTATTATGACGTCACAATTCTAGTTTCTGACATGGGGACGCCGACAAGAAGCACCTCCGCCATGCAGAGAGTGATTGTTCACAACTTCAATGACATACAGCCAGCTTTATCAGAAACCATGACAACTGTGGACGTGGCATGCGGCACGGCACCTGGAACGTCACTGGTGATGTTAACTGCTGTTGACGACGACGGACCAAGCCTCAGTTTTGCTATCGATTCCGGGTCGAATCCATACGTTTCAGTGAGCAGTTCAGGGGAGGTAACTCTTCTAAGTTCACCAGTAGGTAGCGCTGTAGATGACCTTGTTGAAAATGTTCAAATTGTGGTCTCAGATGGCGGAAGCCCGGAATTAAAGGTCACTGGACATCTACAGATTTTATTCGAAAATTGTGGAAACAGTACTATTTGTGATTCCGTTACTACGGCAACAACATCAGAAGGTAAGATTACTGCAAACACATTAACTCAAAAATGATGAGGTAAGTTCATTCGGTTCTTTGAGTGAGTGAGTGGATTTAACGTCGCTTTCATCCATTTTGTTTCATAAAATCACAGTGTGTAAGTTACTTGTGGGAGGAAAGACTGCAAAATTTGGCATTTGGTAGGAATCAACAGTAGGGTAGCTATGCAGTGAAGTCGCTATTTTAAATCATCGAATCAGAGGCCTGGTTCCAGCGAGGGGAAGCATGGAACGACCAGACCAATGAGCGTTCAGCTTACATCGCACTAACGAATGACAGCCTGTGCAATATAAACCATGTCACATTCGTCACCACTCGCCCCTTTCCGTAACCTGCAAGAAGACTCGTCCCCCTATCGATGAATGTTATGTCCAATCAGAATGCGCGTATGATTTCAAGTTCTTCGTCAAAGAATCCCTCGGAAATAATTTTTGATTTTATATATGTCTTGCATCTTAAAATATACACAAGACACAGTTAAATGTGTTCAATCATACTGTATAATTCCGAATGTCCCGATGTGCTGTAACTTGCATCTGAAATATATACAATATATAGGGAAATATATGTGAACCATTACGCAAAGAGTTGACAATTGTTTTAGGTATGCCCGTTTGCGCCAAGACGGAACCCGGTCGCAAAAATGGCCATGAGAGGGGCACGAGTCGCCATTCGGCTTGTCCCGGAAAAACACGAGTTGGTCACGAATGACCATGTCATTGTAGATGCCTGCTCCACGCATTGCTTTAGTGTCATGCAGTGGTAGGATTCGCACAAAGTTCATGCACGGAGTTGGCTCATTTGACTTCCAAGAGTCATTCCATTAACTGAGAAAATAGATACACGTCATTACTACGCCGTAGAGAAGTCGTATATGTTCACGGGTGATGGAGGAGTGAGTGAGTATGGTTTAAATTTAACGCCGCTTTTAGCAATATTACGGCGAGGCACATCGGAAATGTGCTTCACTCATTGTACCCATGATATATCTCAAGCACACGGACCGCCTCTGTGGTCTAGTGGACAGAGCGTCTGCCAGGAGAGAGGTGGGTCGGTGGTTCGACCCCTGGTAGCGTCATCCCCAAAGACGTTAAAAGAGTGTACTTGTTAGTGTCTGAGTGCGGAATCCATGTTAACGGCGTCGTGGTATCTCATTGTACTATAAAACAGTCCCCGTTATATTCCATGGCCCCAAAATAAATACTGCAGTCACTTCTTGTAAAGTCTGCAAGCAATTTTTCAAATTGTATACACAATTCTGCAAACTTTTAACCATAGTTTATCGTGATTTGCGTAGTTCTGCATCTGTTTGACTTGTGGCAGGCACTTAATGTTATCAACTTCTCAACGGCTAGAATAGCATATTACCTCACAATCACCAGTGTAAACATACATGCACGCTCGGTAAGCAATAATACAAAGTTCAACTTTACTACAAAACGAAATTGACTCATTTAACTATTTCTTAAAATGTACAAAATTTAAATGATTGCTTGTAATTATTCTCCCTGTAACACAGACACCTCAAATACGTATCTGCCCAATTGAAATAATGACTGTTCGTTTCAGTAACCCTACTTTTACAAGTTTTAAACTAGCTTTCGACTCCTATTTTAATATTCTGCAGTATATTTGACGAATTCTACTCAACTACCTAGTCAATCAGTGTACATCAACCTTATCTGTTATATAAACATCTGTCTATTGTTATGTATATATATCATGCTCATACCTAGTTTGTACATCATTTGCTTGATAACGGTGTTAAAATCTACACCTGAACGTCGCCCAATTGTAATAAAGAAAGTGCTCATCCATAACAATTTTGTCTTAGTTACCATTCCAACTTCTAAATGCCACTCAAAGAATTCTATGTCAGACAAATGCAAAACTCTACACGAGTGATTTTCTGTAAGATACGTATATTTGCACCAAATGGTTATTTCTGAAACATATTTCGCGACTGCGGAAAAGCGGAACACAGCGGGGCCTGATAAAAACCGGCATCAGTCCGGACGAGTACAAGCAGACACAGACACAGACACACACACACACACACACACACACACACACACACACACACACACACACACACACACACACACACACACACACACACACACACACATGCATATAGTCACTAAATCGGTGCAATAATCTTGAACGCGACGTCAATCCCTATTACAAAGTAGACATAATTTAGGCTTTAACAACTTGGCGAAGGTAAAAGGATCTATGCCGAAACGTCGCCTTTACATTAAATAAGGAAGTTGTTATCCATTATTTGTGTCTACTTTGTCAACTTCTTTGTAATGCGGGGGCACGGTTAGGGATTCGCTGTGCAGAGTTGCCTCCCTTGGGCACGCAAGAAACCTATGATTGTGGGTCAAATCCCGGTTCGCCCCGATTATGTTTCTAGGTTTGTCAGCACCATACCCGTGCTCGTAGGTTTCATCGAAGTGGTAAACGTCTGATACCTGCATCACTTCGGACTTTCCTCCCACATTAAACTGACACGCCGTGATATACCTGGAATACTGTTAAAAGCGGCGTTAAACCCAACTCACTCACTCTTAGTAACGCCTATCAAATACCTAAGCCCCAAACCAAACCTGTTAAGTTCACGAGAATGCAGCTGCTGATGATGTTGATGTGCCTCTGATGCAGCTACAACGTGTGACTGCAGCAACAGAACGACCTCGGGAAATGACCCACCATCAAGGTCAACTGATGACGTCATTGAGACATGGGTGATGAGGGGAGTCGTCATGCTGCTGACTGCGATGCTGTTTGGAATTCTTGCCATGCATTGCAGGTAAACCTTGATATTGTATCCATAGCAACACAGTGGAGTATAGGTTGGCATTTCATTTCAGGAAGCACGTATTTCAGGTTAATATTCATTGTGTCACCATAGCAACTGAGTTGCGTGATCAGTAGCTAATTCTGGCTATGTAAACCTTAAGCCCCATTCACATGGACAAAATTTACTCATGTAAGCAAAAGTATATTTACATTGCGTTCACATGAAGTTTATGCAAGGCAGAAGTAAATATCATTTCATAAATAAATTGTGGACTTTTATCATTTGAGGCCATGTCGCTGTCGAAGATAGTCAACCAGAGGAGAAAGAGAGACTTTCCATACTTTCTTAGTATGGGATAAGTCTTAGGATTATGCCAGGAAAGAGAACTGTGGAAGAGAGAACGTTCTCAACACTGGTGGAACAATGTCGTCAAACGATCATTTGATGATAAACTGTGGATCGATAACTTTTGCATGAGACGCGAAACATTTTATGAACATGTTATGTTCTTTGCAAGGAACTACAGCCGTATTTTCCTGATTATCAGTAACTTGGATTTAATATGCTTACATAAGCAAATAGAGAATCTGTTCACATGACCAGAAATACTCCAGGAGCATTTATACTTATGAGTAAATATACTTTTACTAGACCTCATCAGGTGTAGCAAATATACTTTTACTCATGTCTCTTTACTCCTGGAGTATATTTACTCACGTAAGCAAATGCGTTCACATGCCACCATAAGTAAATTTACTTATGTAAGTATATATACTCACGTAAGTAAAAGTGTCCATGTGAATGGGGCTTTAGTAGTGTGGTTAGGATATTTGCCTGTTTTCGAACAGTTACGTTGGCATGGCTGATATTTCGAGGGATAAGTCAATCAAAACTCAATTTTTGCTTTATGTCTGTCAGTGATGTCTTCAACAATAGAATATCCAGCTACATTCCGAAAGAAAAAACATCCTCGATAAAAGGCGTGACCTCCATGACCTCGTCTTCCGCTTCCGCTGCACTCGAATGACGTCACCTATTTTCGAACACCTGATTTAGCGGGTTTTAGCGGGGTTTCGATGACTGAACAGACGTGTTTTGGCGCACACTTCTCAACACAGTTCTTGCCGGTCGGCATTAAAACTCAAAAAGTAATTGAAAGTTGAAACCTTATCACAAAATATGAATATTTGTAGTGTTATAATGTTCACACTATTTTAATCTTCCTTTTGTCATGACGCGGGCACCAAAGTTCTGAAAGACAACAAAATGTTCTGACAGGTGTACAGTATTTCACATTAACCCAATGTTGACAGGCCGAACGCGCGCATTCTCAAGTCGGCAGCTTTGATGACGTCATACCTCTCGTTATAACGCGACAAATCACTATCAAATACGGCTGTTCGAACATAGTTGTCGTTCGAACTTGGGGTACTTGTAATACCATATTACCGTATTCATTATGTTTAATTCCAGACCGAAGACGCCAAGCATTCCGCAAAAGGGGAACGGTAAAGGTGAGGATTTATTATCAAACAATTTCCTTTGATAAATTCGTGGGAAGGCTACTAGTCAAAGCCCATTTCTGGTGTCCCCGGTCGAGATATTGCTAGAATATTGCCAAAGCCGGCGTAAAAACCATACTCACCCACTCAATTTGATAAAAAGATTGATTAATGATTAACTGTGAGACTATTAGTTATATAAAATATTCAACTTTTGATGGGGATAGTCAGATGTCATTCCTTTAAAACATACACTTGACGTATGAGAATCCGTTGTGTGTATCGTGGCCAGACCGAAGACGCCAAGCGTTCCGCAAAATTGTAACGGTAAAGGTGGGGATTAATGATCAAATATCTTTCGTTGATAAAGTCGTGAGTAGGCTTGTGGTTAAACCATGAAGCCCATTTCTGGTGTCCCCGGCCGAGATATTGCTGGAATATGCTGACTGCGGCGTTAAACAACATTCACTGCGTATTGTTACCTATATACATCTTCGCTGTTCAGTGTTCCCCCGGGAATCTACGCTGGAGAGAGGGATCCAGGACGATTCAGGAAAGCCCTTCGACGATGATCTGTAAGAATATTTCTTTATTCAAACTGTCCATAACATTAGCGGGCACGTGTGGGGTGAGGCTGGTAGTTTGTTCTTGCAGTTCCTCAATGACATTCTGTCGTGGGTTTGAATACCAGAATCACACGATCATGTTCTTCACGGTTGTTGATTCTGTGTCACAGTAGGTCCCCAGTAAGTCATACTTGTTTTAAGACCGCCTTGTGGTCTAGTGGGAAAGGGCGGCGGTTTTAAGCGTTCGCTCGGCATTGGTACAATCATCTTCCCGAGGCAAGAGAGTTAACTGACTTTTAAAAGAACAGTTTCCACCCTTACCGAACTAGGCTGGTATTATGGAGTTACATTTTGGCTGGACTAACGAGTCAATGCATAGTCCAATCAAAATCGCGCAACGAAATCGAAATCCAGTTCGTAAACTGTCATGTAGATTTCGGTCGATTGCAGGATTTGCAAAGCATGTGCACCGCCAACTCGTTGTCAACAGATATTTCCCTAATCTTTTCATGATTTTACTCAAGGTACTCACGTGATTTGATGCACCTCACGATGTAAGACCCGTTTTATCACAATATAGATCTTGATTATCGATCAGATCGTCTTGACTGGGCTCCGCCATTTTGTTTGAAGCAAATACAAATGACACGAGGTGGAATCTGATTGGTCCCTAGGAGAGGCATAGAAGGGACATAACTCGTAACAGTCACTGGTGGCGCTACGGTCGAGCCCAGGGATGCCAGCCTTGTTCGGCGAGAGTGGAAACTGGAGTCAGTAAACTCTCTTGCCTCGGGAAGATGGGGTACAATGTGTGAAGCCTATTTCTGGTGTCCCCCGTGATATTGCTGGAATATTGCTAAAAGCGGGCGTATTCACCCTCTCACTCTAGCGGATAAAGCGTCTGCCGTAGAGCGGAATGTCTGATCCCCGGCCTTGTTGTTACCCTGCCTGGCGCTTCCGCATTAAGAGGCTAAAACAAGGACCGGTTGGCTCGGAGTCAGTATACTGTGTCTGGGTGGGGTAATCATGTTAGACTGCGGCATGGTATCTCACTTGGCTATGGCTATTGAACCGGAATGTTCCGGACTAGTACAAGCAGACACACACAGACGTGCGCGCACGTCACTATGTAAGTGCAATAATCTTGAACGCGACATTTAACCCCATTTCACTTCATCTTATCTCATATTTGTCATCTTCCCAAGGCATAGGCTTTAACTGACTATAAAAGACCAGTTTCCACCCTTGCCGAACTAGCCTGGAACTTCCTGGCACGTTCGTAGCGCCACCAGTGGCTATTATGAGTTTTGTCCCTCCTATTGAGCAATAAGATTCCGCTCATATCGCTTGAGTTTCCATCAACCAAACTGGCTTCGCCCAGTCAAAAATCTATTTTGTAATGAACGGGCCTTACCTCGCGACGTGCATCAATCACTTGAGCATCTCGATTAAACACATGAAAAGATGCAAAATATCTGTCGATACCAAGTTGGCGGTACACCTGCTTTGCAAAGCCTGCAGTTTAACGGAAATCTGCACGTTGAAATCCATGTTGTTTACGAACCGGATGTCTAGTTCGTTACGCGATTTTGATTGGACTATGCATAGCATCGTTTGTCCAGCCAATCTGTAACTTCGGAATTCCAGCCTAGTTCGGCAAGGGTGGAAACTGGACTTTAATAGTCAGTTAACGCCCTTGCCTCGGGAATATTTGTCTGAGACCAAGATGGGAATCGGATGGTCGGTAGGGTACTGTGAGGTAGTTCTTTGTTCTTTACCCTACAAAGATGACGTGTATCGATATTCACTCATGCTTTCAATCACGTGGTTGTCTGGTCCAGATTCAATTATTTACAGGCCACCTTAATATAACTGACTCACTCACTCACTCATGATCCAAGGTTTGTCAGCATCTCGAGGCTTCCGTTTCACCAACGTGGTAGACGTCCTCGACTTACATTAGTTTTGGTGTGCTCCCAAATTATGTGGCACGGGTGGTCCAGTCGGCTAAGGCGCCGTAATTCGCTGTGCAGAGTTGCTTCCCATGGGTACGCCAAATACCTATTCGTGGGTTCAAATCCCGGTTCGCCTGGATAATGTTTCTAGGTTTGTCACCACCATATCTGCTCGTGGGTTTCACCAAAATGGTCTCAGACCTGCATCATTTCGGGTTTACCTCTCACAGTAAGCTGGCGCGACGTGATATAGCTGGAATATTGTTAAAAGCGGCGTTGGAACCAACTCCCTCACTCCTACCAAATTTAGTTGACGAAGGACTGAAAGGAACGCCCCTCACTCACTGTACCATACACTTTCGTATTCCAGAGAACACCATTTCCTTCACAAATAACCTCGAGAGAATACCCATACTACAGAGGGGAGACGTCCACACAACCATATCGAAACGGAGAGGATATTCCCATATACATATGTATAGCATGTGGACATGTACAGGATATGGCTGAACACACTGTGAGGAGAAAGGGAATCAATGGGACCATCCAAGATGCTATGTCATTTAATGATTAGTCGTCGCACTATCCATTGACATTGGAATGCTGTTCCCTGTGTTAAACATATGGCAGATTGTTATTTATAACACTAAATTGACAACAGCACACAGTTGGCCAAGATAAACGTATTGATATATTTTTTGTTTATATTATTTTTCATTCTTTAAATGTTGATGTTTTTAATACAGTCTATTAACTTGAAACTGTTAATGTCAGTCGTACAAAAAAAACTACATTTTTATCAATGATCTCTTCTGCATTTTCATAAAGATGTTATATTTCATAGCCAACATTAGTAAAAGGAGATGTCGTAAGGCAGATTGCACAAAGAAATAGGAACATAAATATATTCAATTAATAGATGAACAATGTCATATAGTGCTAATTATAAGACTTTGTAGCTGTTGTAATGTCATTATTTTTGTATTATTTTAAATCAAATATAAAAATTTGTACACACAGCCTGGACTGTTCTTTTAACTTCAAGTATAACATCTGATTACTTGAAAAAGATTGAAAGCTTGGAAATATTCACCGCGTCCAATACGCTTGCCAGAAATCTATGATCTTTGGTTCGAATCCACGGTTCTCTCCGATTGCGTTTCTAGGTTTGTCTGCACCATACCTGTGCTCGTGGATGACACCAGGGTGGTAAGCGTTTGAGACCTGCATCAGGGGTTCCAGCCACATCAAGCTGCGCGTCGTTATACACTCCAAAAAATACTCCCCAAAGAGGCGTTAAACCAAACTCACTCACTCATTCTTTTGTTAAGCAAATCCTATGTCGCAATATGTAGCTATTGTTGCGGAAGAGCAGTATGTTATGTTGACATATAAAACCAACAGAGATGATACTTATAAACCTGATTTATTATCTAATAACTAGATAGGCATTTGTACGGGCACTTAAACTTAAAATAATCTAAATAAGTAAAGGAAAATAAAGAAGCTAACAAGCATAATTTGCTTATTCATAATGCGCCAAATCCACACATTAAAGCTTGCTCAAAGCGCTACATTATTACTGATAAATGGATCAGTGTGCACGTGTGCAGTGTTTTCATTCTCAGCTTCCTGGGCAGTACACCACCGAAGCTGCCAGTGAGGCGCTAGAATGTTAACATCCACATTACCATCTCATTCTGCCGGGTACCCATTCAGTGCTGTGTGAACAGAGGCATAATGCCTAGTGAAACACATGTACTACATGTGCTTCAGTGTTGTGCAGCGTAACGCGGTCACCCATCCACCTACTCTCCGCGACCGATGTTGCCACCTGATTTGTGACCTGTGAACTGTACAAATGCCCAGATGCTACCACATACATGTAGGCAAAATGAGGTTCGACTAAATAATGCTATATGAATACGTTTTTATAGTGATGATATCGTCAATATAATCATTTAAAACCGTTTTTCAAAACATCCTCCTGAAAGGCAATTGGAATTTACAATTCTATACGAACTTGAGGGAGAGATGGATTCCCAACTTCTTCAAACTGACGGTTTGTAGGTAAGATCATGTGACCAAGCTGCTTCAGCCAATCAACAAGTGGGCTATAGCCGTCATTTTGCCATGAACTGAGTAGCCATGGAAACCACCGGAAAGGCGCCGTGAACGCATGCGCGATATGATGGTCGACAGAGGAGTAACACGAAGCAAAGATTCCATCAACAAGAACCGTTCCTTCCTCTGTAAGTGGCACATACACGCCTAGAAATGAATAAAACATATCATGTGCCAATGGTAAGTATATATGTAAATATTAAACGTTATGGCTCGCTGACTTGGTTGATGCATGACATGGTATCCCAATTGCGTAATGCCTAGAAATGAATGAAACATATCACATAGCGGCGTGGAAAACAGATGATGTGCTAAGGGTAAATATATATGTAAATATAAAACGTTATGGCTCGCTGACTTGGTTGATGCATGCCATGGTAATCATGCTAATGATGTCAATCACTGGATTGTCTGGTCCAGACTCGAATATTTACAAACCGCCATCATATAGCTGGAATATTGCTGAGTGCGGCTTTAAAAAATAAACAAAATTAAACAGCCCAATCAGTCACACTTAAAGGAGCAGTACACTGTCACCGAGAAGGATGGGGTTGCATATTCGCTTGTTTGATTTGAAAAGTGGTTCAACCGTAAGTACATCCCATTTTACTGACTGTTTTCTCGTTTATTGGTGCGCACCCCGGAGGTAATTAACATGATTCAACAAGACCACACGCAGAGTCCCTTCTGAGTAAAAATCCAATATCCCCGTGAAGATCCGGGTAGAGAATGGACCTTAAGCAACCCATGTCTGCCGTAAGAGGCGACTATGCTTGTCACAAGAGGCGACCAACGGGATCGAGTTGACAGGCTCGCTGATTTGGTTGGTCATCGTTTCCAAATTGCGGAGATCGATACTCATGATATCAATCATAGGATTGTCTGGTTCAGACTCGATTATTTTCAATCGCCGTCATATACCTGGAATACTGCTGGGTGCGGCGTTAAACAACAAACAAAAACCCAGCAGATTGATTATTTTTTGTCTTTACCTTCTTTGACGACCGGCTGAATGTGGGTGACCAGAGCCGGACACAGAGGCTGACCACAGTCCCCCGTAGAGAACAGGTAATCCCCGGGCTTGACGGTCAGGGCGAACCTGGACGGAGAGATGACGTCATATGGGACACTACTAGGAACGTTATACCTTCATACGTGTGGGAAAAAAACCTTATCTAATTTGAGTGAGTTGTGTGGTGAAATAATGGTATATGACAGTGTTATCACATAGGTCTGTAAATATTTGAGTGTTGACTCGTCAAGTGAGTGAGTGAGTTATATCATGGTGTGTCAGCTTAATGTGGGAGTAAAGCCCGAAGTGATGCAGGTCTCAGACGTTTACCACGTGAAACCCACGAGCACGGGTAAGATGCTGACAAACCTAGAAACATAATCGAGGCAAACCGGGATTCGAACCCACAATCATAGGTTTCTGGCGTGCCAAAGGGACGCGACTCACAGCGAATTGCGGCACCTTAGACGACTGGGCCACCTGTGTCCCATTTCTAGTTTGAGCAGAGATGCAAAGCTTTGAACGGCAATTATAATCACTGTGGACAAGTTTGCTTGTGCATTGGATGCCGGTCTCGAATATATCCCCTTGATGGCCATAATGTGTGACCTGGTTCTGTCTGTTTCGTCATTATCCGACGGGGTGAAGTGTTGTTCATGCTATCAACCACTGGTTTGCATGGCACTATTATTCCCATGCTGCTGCCGTGACATAGCTTCAATGTTGCGGCGTAAAACATCATTTATTATTTGGGTTTGGTGCAAATCCGTGGGTTATGTACAAGAACAACATATATAACTATTTGTTGTGATTATGTTACCAATCTCATTAAAATCAGATCTTAGTTCTCGCTACCGCCAAACAAAGACCTGAGGACATCCCATTTCGGGTCACGTCAGACCGACCTTGCGCGAACTTTGACCGACCAATGGAATGACCAATCAGAAGGCAGCTTTCTCGTGCTTTACGGTACTAATTTCAAATTGACGACTACGCTTCGAAACATATTTTGACAAATTCTCGATTAAAAATTTGAAACCTGAACAAAAGCACATTCTGGAATGGCTAATAGATGGTCTAGATTGTATGGATTCAGTCGTTAAACTCGTAACTATCGTTCGGAGTTAAAGTTTTCGAGGTTGCATGATTAGAAATCACTTCCGACTGTCACTTTCATAATCTGGTAAGCGATGCTCTGATTGGTCGGATGAAAGGTCGTTCTGACGCGACCTCTAATGGGAAGTCCTCAGATCTTTGTTTAGCGGTAGCGAGAACTGAGGTCTGATTTTAATGAGATTGTTATGTTACTATCTGAGAAGCCGAAAATCTGACAAACTCCATTCGTAACGATCCGGGGTAGAATAGGACTTCAGCAACCCATTCTTGTCGTAAAAGGCGACTATGCTTGTCGTAAGAGGCGACTAACGGGATCTGACGGTCAGGTTCGCTGACTTGGTTGATACATGTCATCGTAACCCAATTGCGTGGATCGATGCGCATGATGTCAATCACTGGATCGTCCGGTCCAGACTCGATTATTTACAAACCGCCGTCATATAGCTGAAATATTGCTGAGTGCGGCGTTTAACAAAATACAAACAATAAAAAAGACTCAAGACGTGTCTCTTCACGAAAGACTTTGACTAGATCAGGCGCAATTGAAATGCGCTATACAAATTCTAATTTAATATTGCAGACGGATATTGCGCACCATCCAAATAGGCGTTACATATACCATGTGCTACTATTGAAGGCATCCGTGACCAACTCGTATCATTCAGGGACAAGCCGAATAGCGACTCGTGCCCGTTTCGTGGCCATTTTGGCGACTGGGTTCCGTCTAAGCGCAAACGGACATAGCTTAAAGGGGCACTGATCTAACGGACTGGTTGTTGCCTTTGTTATTGTTTTTCCCCCGTGAGTACCCGGATGATACGCAACGCAACTGAGCGTGACCAGAGACTGGGGTACCGTCTGCAAGGGCAGCTAAATAAACTTGGAGGCTGGAGGCAATATTTGTTTTACGCATTTTTGAACACTGATTGGTTAACTGTGATCTATAAAGATTTCGACAAAGGGCGCATGTTAATTCATTTCTTCAGCCTAAACAAACAGACAAAAAGAACAAGGGAGCTCATCGGATGTCGTCATTTGGAAATACCCCAGATGGTTATAGTTTAAAACTAAAAACAGTATCCATGCAATGAAAGCATTTTCGGATTTCGGCTTGCGTCGATAATACGATTACTACTCCCTTGTTGTCATCCACGTTTTCTCGTATAACCCTTCACTTGTGTATTTGTCGTCATTCACTTGATGCTCAGGTAATGAATTTATTACAGGTACAATTAGTGGTAGCACCACTTATATTACCTGACAAAGGTTCCCATTTGGCATTTATTGTGTCTGGGGTAATTATTCAATCTAAATCCAGGTTTGAAGTGAGGTGAAATGTGTGTTATGTAATATGCACGTGGCAGTCCAGCAAGAGATGAATGATCAGTTGATTTACTTTTTTTTGTAAATCAACGGATCGTTCCTAGTCATCAAAGGATTAACAGAAAATACGTTGATTGATTAATCACTGTTATCTTGCACAGTGGATATGTCAAGAGTGAGTGTTTACATGTCTAGGTTTACTAAAACAAAGGGAATACACTCATATCATGGCGCGAAGTGCCGATGTAAAAACAACATACTTTGTTCAAAGGGTTAACTGATAATACGTTGATTGATTGATCATTGTTATCTATCACTCAATGGAATTTTTAGGAACCGTGGACGTTATGAAAATAGTTGTCACGTGGGCTTTCTCAGCCGACCATTGAGACTTGACACCTATGTAAAACACCTGAAACAATCCAAGCGATCAGTTGAGAAACGAACACGGGTTATAATATCCCGAAACGATATATATCTTTCAAAATATTTGATTGTTACTGAGACACGTGACATCGAATAAGTTTCTTTGTACAGCTGCAGACGAGTGGGATATTGTTCCTTTGTGTGGATATTCACGGATACATTCCTCGAACAAGGAAGCTGCCTAAAACTTATACACATAAATTTGGTAGGTTGTAATTATGATATCTGCATTTTGTTTTCCAGACCTTCATTTGAACCGATTCGTTCTTGTTTCTCTACGTCTTGGTTGGGAAATTCTTCAATGCGCGATAGTCGTTGTTGTCACAGGTCTTTTCCTTTGTAAGCGTGTATATATTACCGTCAATTTGTAAAATGTGATTCTCTCAGGCAATTTATAAAATGTGTAAATATTTCAGTCATTTTGACTAAAAAATCTGTCCAGATTGATCAAGACGATCAAAAGGGCCTACACACATCACAACAGATTATTATGTAGGATTAAAAGCCAAACAACTTAGAAATGTACTTTTCAACGTTACATTTTCAGTCTCTTGGTGATGACATTAAACATCAAAATGTTTGGAATTCGTTGTCATAATAATACAGATGGAAATGTTTTTCAGTCACATTATAAAATAACTGAATATTTAGACGTTTAATAAATGTGTTACACATTTGACAGTAAAAAAATATACACACTATAAAAAAGCATATGCTCAGGTGAAATATATACTTTGTGTTGCAAGTCAAAATAGTGTAAACGAAAATCGCAAAATTACCAAGCAAGTGACTTATCAAAACTTCGTCACCATTACCGATGCTACTCACAAAGATACCTACATTTCTTTATTATCTCGAAAACTGTATTTCATTTTGTTGATCAATGTGACCATACGCCCTTATTACTACCCATAAAAGTGACTAATGCGCTTACGAATGGCGCAGCAGAGGTCGCGAACTAGTCTAGATTTCTGCTACACATCCGGGTACTCACTAGGGAAAAACAATAACAAAGGCAACAACCAGTCCCGGGGAATTGCGTTAGATCAGTGCCCCTTTAAAGAATTGTCGACTCGTTGCGTAATGATTCACGTATACTTCCCCCAATATATCATATATATTCCAGATGCTATTGAAAACACATCGGGACTTACAGTATTATACAGAATGATTGAACACATTAAACTGTATCTTGGGTATGTGTTTAAATGCAAGACCATGTAAAGTAAAAAATAATTACTGAGGGATTCTTTGACCGAAGAGTTGAAGTCATACGCGCATTCCGATAGGTTTGTCGTATTTTCGCACATAACATTCATCGATAGGGGGACGAGTCTTCTTGCAGGTTACGGAAAGGGGCGAGTGGTGACGAATGCTATCGAAGGGTCAGTATCCTGTAATCATATTTCTATTATTACCGAGTCACATTTCACTTGAACTAAATTGGCGTTATATAAACAGCTACTTAAAACAATCATTTTACTATTATCGCAGCATAACCGTGACATTTCCATTGTGACTTATTGTACAATTACCGTGGTGACATGCTCCCTGTCATGTTGCTGGTAGCGACGAAAACAAGATGGCGCCCGGAGAGAGTAAGGCTTGACCCGGTTGCGGTGGATATCGTCAGGTAGAGGGCGCTCTTTGCTGGCTGGCGTTTCAGAAAGGTTTTTACCTCGGTATGGGTCTCCATGCCATTGGCAACTGGACAAAAAAAATCAGATTCAATTCAGTAAATATCAGACGAGTAAATACACACCTAATGCGTAAAATAATTAACACATGATTTTTTTAGATGAGGTTGGCCAAGCATAATATCGATTATGATCGTCTAATATCGAATCTGTTGTCTCGAACTATGGATAATTCGATATATGATATATGACCCCGAGGACACAGAGTTACTACAGAATATATAGGGAATTTGCCTGTCAAAAAAACCCTTTGTGGTGAAGTGGTAGAGCAAGCAGCCACACACACACACACGTGTATGCACGTCTCTATATAAGTGTAATATTCTTGGACGCGACGTTAAACCCCATTTCACCTCACCGTATACTGATGCGTCAAAGTTGGAACTCTCCTCCATGAAAACACAAAACGACCATAAAACATTTTGGAACTTTTACTGAGACTTTGAATGATGTAACACTGATCGTCAACTTTTGAGTCGTATAACGCTCCTTGAAATCTTCGTTAGGAAGAGCATGCTCTGTTGTACCCCAACGTTACGTCATATTGTACGTTACGCCATATTGTACGTTACGCCATATTGTACGTTACGAACACCCAAAACGTCATATTGCACGTTACGAACACCCAAAACGTCATATTGCACGTTACGTACACCCAAAACATCATACTGCACGTTACGTACACCCAAAACGTCATACTGCACGTTACGTACACCCAAAACGTCATATTGCACGTTACGTACACCCAAAACGTCATATTGCATGTTACGTACACCCAAAACGTCATATTGCACTTTAATTCACCCAAAATGTCATATTGCACGTTACGTACACCAAAAACGTCATACTGCACGTTACGTACACCCAAAACGTCATATTGCACGTTACGTACACCCAAAACGTCATATTGCATGTTACGTACACCCAAAACGTCATATTGCACTTTACGTACACCCAAAATGTCATATTGCACGTTACGTACACCAAAAATGTCATATTGCACGTTACGTACACCCAAAATGTCATATTGCACGTTGCGTACACCCAAAATGTCATACTGCACGTTACGTACACCCAAAATGTCATATTGCTCAACATGAAGGGTAAGTTGACTATTGGAAAGCTGAAGTCATCCCTCTTGTCATAGTCTTGTGGATGTCTTTTCCCACAGTGAATCTTTATGCATAGATGTCTAAATATGACACAGATGAGGCACTTTCACTGGTCTTTTATGTTTTTTAGTAAATTCAGGTAAATCAGTGTATGCAAACCAGCTATTTGGACGTTATTGGGCATTATCAGGTGATCGATATACCTGGGGTTCTTGACTAAATTCCTGTGTTCTAAGTAAGCCAATCCGAGTAAAAATTCCGATTGATACATTTGAAACAGACCAGCAAGGATCCTTACCCCAAATTGTTATCTGAGAGGCAGTCCATCATTTTACATACTGTTTCCTTGCTTACAATTTTGACAAATGTTCTTGAACATCTGATGATAGAGATGTAACTGTATCTATGGTGACCACGCTTTGTGACAAAGGACGTATGGATCAAGGGATGAAGTTTATCTCGAGGTTGTCATGTGGGATAGTGGTGTACAAAGTTGAAAATCAAAGGTTTTCACATAATTGAATTTGAAGCAACTTGAATGGTGTATGGTTCTCGCCATGTTACAGTTCGATGTGCCCTGTTAGACTACTTAAGGTGACCCAGTCGTCTAAGGTGCCGCGATTCGCTTTACAGAGTTGCGTCACTTGGGCACGCCAGAAACTTATGATTGTGGGTTCGAATCCCGGTTCGCCCCGATTATGTTTCTAGGTTTGTCAGCACCATAGCCGTGCTTGTGGGTTTGCCAAATGGTGAACGTATGAGACCTGCATCACTTCGAGCTTTCCTGCCACATTAAGCTGACACGCTATAACTGGAATACCGTTAAAAGCGGCGTTAAACCTATTTCACTCACTCACTCACTCACTCACTAGACGCGTCAACACACAAGTATTTACAGACCGATGTGATAAAACTGTCATAAATACAATGCGCCTTAAAATACCATTTACTCATCACACAACTGTCCACCACCGTCCTACTCAATAGACACTGTACCAACCTGTTTTCACCTTGTGCCCCGCTCTGAGGTTCTTCATCAGGATATCCGAGCCATCCTCCAGTGTAAGTGTGGCGTCACCTGGGAAACAAATCTGGTCTGTCCAGGGACAGGAACAGCACTCCCATTCGTTGTTGTAGACCCTGCGGCAGCGACATTCGCAGCGCTTCCGGACGGACAAGCCATCTGTCTCCTTGACCAGATAGATCATTAACTATTTAGGTGATACATGATACCTTCACTTAATACCGCTATTTATGAACATCAACATATTGCCATGCATTTGTTATGTGATTGAGGTTCGTAGATATATGATATCAGATAGATACGAAAAAAATAATTTGAACTGCTGGAGAATTGTCACTGGCGTACTGACTATGACCTTTCGGGGACGGGATATGTCCTCATTTCGAGAACACCTGGTTTGATCGTTGCCAGTGATATCATGCGACTGAATCCATGTAAATGTGCTATTGACGCTTCCATTTTTATGTTGACCTTTTGACGTGATGGGGATAAGTGTATTCACAGAGAGGTGGCGCTGAGGTTTATGAATATACGTCATATATGTTACATGAGCGTGTTGATACGTCTGTCCCAGTTTCCGTCTGTGCCGATAAAGCCTATGTCCCTGTATACCGTCTGTGCCCATATAGCCTCTGTAATCATATAGCCTCTGCGTCGGTATGTCCTCTGTGCCAATATAGCCTCTGTAATAATATAGCCTCTGCGTCGGTATGTCCTCTGTGCCCATAGAGCCTCAGTAACCATATAGCCTCTGCGTCGGTATGTCCTCTGTGCCCATATAGCCTCTGCGTCAGTATACCCTCTATGCCCATATAGCCACTGTCCTAGAATGTCCTCTGCGCCCATATAGCCACTGTCCTAGAATGTCCTCTGCGCCCATATAGCCTCTGCGTCAGTCTACCCTCAGTGCCCAATTAGCCTTTCTCCCAGTCTACCCTCTGTGTCCAGATAGTATCTGTCCCAGTATATTCTGTGTTCATATAGCCTTTGTCCTAGTCTATACACTATGCCCATATTGCCTCCATCCCAGCATAACCTCTGTACCAAAATAGCCTCCCCATGGTCCCAGTCTCGCCTCGATGGCCATATAGCCAAAACACTCTAGGAGTCCATTTATCTTCGGTCCCAATATAGCATCGGGATCCCAATGTTTGTTTGTTTGTTTGTTTGTTGTTTAACGCCGCACCCAGCTATATGACGGCGGTCTGTAAAAAATCGAGTCTGGACCAGACAATCTAGTGAAGGACATCATGAACATCGATCCACGCAATTTGGATCGATGACATGCACCAACCAAGTCCGCGGGCCTGACTAGCCGATCCGGTTAGTCGCCTCTTACGACAAGCATAGTCGCCTTTTACGGCAAGCATGGGTTCCTGAAGACCTATTCTACCCCTCATCTTAACGGGTCGGGATCCCAATGACCACGTTGCGCCTTTATTTGATGCTTCCTTACCTCTTCGTCATGTTCAATATCGGTCTGTAGAATCAGTTCCTTGTTAGGCCCATGGCGCAATCGTAAGCGTGCTGACACAATGGAAAAAGATAATTATTCGTAACCAGAGTACCACAGGTACTGAAGCTCACCTTTATCCAGTGCTACATAAACTTGCAGGTGATCATGTCAAAACTTGCTATTTTGTATAAACCATATGTTACTACCTAAATTATATCACAGCTTATCAATGTCATAATGCACACGATACTTGGCTACAGCGAGGCCTTGTTATCACCAAAGTGTTCAGCATGTTATTTTCTACATCTCTAGGGCTCGCATTTCGGTAAGCCCACACTTAACCCTGGAAATGAGTGAGTGAGTGAGTTGGGTTCAACGCCGCTTTTAACAGTATTCCAGTTATATCACGGCGTGTCAGCTTAAGGTGGTAGGAAAGCCCGAAGTGATGCATGTCTCAGACGTTTACCACTTCGGTGCTGACACACCTAGAAACATAATTGTGCCAAACCGGGATTCGAACTCACAATCATAGGTTTCAGGGCGTCCAAAGGACGCAACTCCTCACAGTAAATCGCGATGCCTTAGACAACTGAGCCACCCGGACCCCCCTGGAAATGAAAACCAAGGTCAGGTAATTTGAGATCGCTAGAACCACAGAAATGGATCCAGTGTAGGTTTAGCGGAAGGTGATCCCTTGGGATACGGATGAAGTCACAACATTTATTGACATCCTTTCGTATAAGTGACGTAAAGCTTTAACTCACTCACTCACTCACTCCTTTCGTATAATTATTTATTTCGTATTACGTTTCTATTTAGGAAATATGTCATCAGTAACATTCCAAAAGATTATCAAGGAAAATGATACATCCTTCTTCAAACCTGTGTCTTTGTCGTCCAAGGCACCGTGATGTTTTGCACAGTTGGGCACGCCAGAAGCCTGTGATTGTGAGTTCGAATCCCGGTTTGGCATAATTATGTTTCTGGGTTTGTCAGCACCATATCATTGCTCGTGGGTTTCACCAAAGTGGTAAACGTCTGAGACCTGCATCACTTCGGGCTTTCCTTCCAAGTAAGGCTGACACACCGTGATATAACTGGAATACTGTGTAGAGCGGCGTCAAGCCCAACTCACTCTTTTACTGATATCCAAAGTCTACTCACGGGAACTGCTGTCTCCATGTACCAAACAACCTGTAACAAATAAATCAACGAAACCTTAAACATACTATCTATGCAGTAAACTACGGTTATAACGAACCTCAAGGGACCACTTATTTTAGTTCGTCATATCCGGGAATACTGTTAAAAGCGGCGTTAAACCCAACTCCCTCACACTCACTCACTCGTCATATCCGCCTGTTCGATATAAGCGTGTTCATTATAAGCGTAGTTTACTGTAACCTCCATACACCATGCAATGGCCTCATACACCCGTCTATCGCGCATTTAGAAAATGCTGACAATACAGCTTTTATTTAGAGTTTGTCGATTGTAGATGAAGCACCCAATATGTGATGTATAAAGAATTAAAAAAACTATCCGAACTAATATTTGAGTATTTAAAATGGCACACGTGTACGCAGTGTGTTTATAACATTAAAATGGGGCTGAAACAAGGACTGGTCGGCTCGGAGTCAGTATACTGTGTCTGAGTGGGGTATTTATGTTAAACTGCAGCATGGTATCTCATTGGGCTAAAACAAGGACTGGTCGGCTCGGAGTCAGTATACTGTGTCTGAGTGGGGTATTTATGTTAAACTGCAGCATGGTATCTCAGTTGGCTAAAACAAGGACTGGTCGGCTCGGAGTCAGTATACTGTGTCTGAGTGGGGTATTTATGTTAAACTGCAGCATGGTATCTCATTGGGCTAAAACAAGGACTGGTCGGCTCGGAGTCAGTATACTGTGTCTGAGTGGGGTATTTATGTTAAACTGCAGCATGGTATCTCAGTTGGCTAAAACAAGGACTGGTCGGCTCGGAGTCAGTATACTGTGTCTGAGTGGGGTATTCATGTTAAACTGCGGCATGGTACATCAGTGTGTTAGCACTATAAATTGGCATCAGTCCGGACAAGTACAAGCAGCCACACAAACACATGCACGTCGCTACATAAGTGCAATAATCTTGAACGCGACGTTAAACCCCATTTCACCTCACCACCTCCATGACAGGACAAGGGGAAATGGCAATGAACGCATATGTCTATGCAATTTATCTTATGAATACCTTTTGTTATTGTTCTGTGAACGTTATTTTCAACCTCCTCGAAGAATATTTCGCAAAATTTCTAAATTCAAAGTTTATTGTGTACAACTCAGGATGATTTTTTCATTATTATGTAAATTATGCATTTAAAAAAGACATAACGTCGTGAACTCCATGCGATATGTTTCACATTGTATATTTGGCATTGAATTACTTCTATATGGGCCAAAGGCTTTCACACAAATAAACTAATTTGTCTTTGATTTTGATATGGTTCCAGAACATTAACCGTTTGTGTCGCCAACTGCGGGTTTATGAGTCGATGGTACCTGGCAATAATTATTGCCCTTGTAAACAGTCAAGTAGCCATTATCGCCATGTGACATTTTTTGTGATAATTCTGTGACTTTCTGTGAAAGGAGAAGTAAAGACTGAGATACTGTATTAAAACTTCATGGTTAAATGAAATCTGAATAAACATATGCATGACATATCACCATGCATAAAACTGTAAGAGAAGACTATGCTTGCTGTAAGAGGCGTCTAACGGGATCGGGTGGTCAGGGCCCCGTTCCACAAAGCGATCTTAGCGCTACGACCCTCGTAAGTATATGTTTAAGTATGGTAGTTACGCTCACCTTAGCCCTAAGATCGCTTTGCGGAACGGAGCCCTGACTCGCTGACTTGGTTATTGCATGTAATCGATCCCAATTGTGTGGATCAATGCTCATGATATTAATCACTAGATTGTCTGGTCCCAACTCGATCATTTAGAGACCGGCGTCATATAGCTGGAATATTGCTGAGTGTGGCGTTAAACACCAAACAAACAAACATTGGGATCCCGATGTTATATTGGGACCGAAGATATATGGGCTCCTAGAGTGTTTTGGCTATATGTCCATCGAGACGAGACTGGGACCATGGGGAGTCTCTCCGGATACCGAGATTACATTAAGCAGGTTATATGGACTTGTGGATTGTTTTGGTTATATGTCAATCGAGTTAATACTGGGACCATGGGCAATATTGGACAGTGGCTATTTTGGCACAGAGGTTATGCTGGGATGGAGGCAACATGGGCATAGTGTATAGACAAGGACAAAGGCTATATGAACACACAGAATATACTGGGACAGATACTATCTGGACACAGAGGGTAGACTGGGAATATTGAATATTGCGGAGTGCGGCGTTAAACAACAAATAAATAAACAAACAGCATATGTACTCAGATCAAGTAGTTTGTGCGGGGATCAACTCACCGTGGACCAGCAGCAGGATCAATGCAAACACGCTGAGATTCTTCATGACTTGATGTGAGGACGAGGCAGGCTTCAAGTTAGTCCCGGGCATCACCTGCCCACACAGTCGACTATCATCTGCCGAGTATCAATCGCACATAGCTGTCCTTCCTCCGGATGTACCCTGACATTTTTAAAGGTCCGTGTTGACAGATAGGATTCCTAATAGAGCAGTGGCCAGACCCTCAAACTGCTGACATACTCCTCCCCATAGTAGAACAAAGCAAACTTAGCTTTTCCTTATGTTTTTTGTATCCAACAGACTAGTAAATGATGGTTGTGGTCAAATGTTTTGGTGGCAGATACTGTTTTGGGGGGTCAAAATATACTTTTATTTTGTAAAAATAGAGAAAATCAAATTAAGTCCCCTTAAAGAGTAGTGTATGCATTGATTCCTTATTTTCATCCTTTATGTGATAGTTAACACATAGTAGACTTGAATTATTATTATGATTTTAATTACAGCTTCTCACAAATTAAGAAAATGGTAAAAATAAGACAAAATATGGTACATTTTGTTCTATTTTAATTTTCCAATTATTAGAAAATGAACCATAATGAATTATTAGTTTTATCAACCAAGTCATTTAATATCTCAAAATGATCCGACACGTCTTATGGGGAGACGGCAGTGTTCATATTCCACATAGCTTTTATGATTGGTAATATGTTACCCCACCCCCCATTTTGTCAATTTTTATATTCCCATTAATCATAGATTAATAAAACACATGCATATCACCGTTTGCAAATACCTTTTCTATGTATGATATTATTGAAGGTTTGCCTAAAATCAATGATTATTTAAACCACCTAGGAGGCATATTTGAAGGTCAATGTCACTTTGAAGGTCAAGTTCTAATTGATACATAGATAGTATTAAAAAAGCTACAAATACACATACAACTTTCTATACTGGTTCTGGGTATGCTTGGTTATGCCCTATAGAATATACGAAGAAACAAACAAGAAATGATCCAAACAAGATCAAAATAGCTGCTCCACCTCAAAATGGACAATCAGATGATACTGTGGACTAAATCTGACAAGTAACATAGAGGTATATAAGGAAGAGAATGTATGGTCGTAAACTTCTTTATTATGAGGAACACAACGTTTGGGAGTAAATGCTTTCTCTATGAAGCAGAGAACATAGATATTTTCCTGTAAGAACAACAAAGGAATAATATAACAAAGGTGGAAACTTCACAAGGGAAGCCAACAGTTAATTGGCGCTGATAGGTGATTAGCAATGGACGAATGGAACAGTTAACAGTCTCGGGCCAATGGCAGAGGCACCAGCACAAGTCCAAACCCCAGAGGATGTATATACCAGATCCCCTGTAACTGTGGTCACCAGTACATCGGAGAAATCCTCAGATCCCTCAACACCAGACTCAAAGAACATCAGACCTCTGTCAACAAACTAGACCTGAAATCCGCCAATAAATCAGCGCCAATTAATTGTTGGCCTTCCTTGCTTAGTTTCCACCTTTGTTATCCTATTACTTTTGTTGTTCTTACAGGTACATATATATGTTCTGTGCTTCATAGCATTAATTCACCTGATGAAGGAATACGTACATACTCCGAAATGTTGACTGTGTTCCTCTTAATAAAGAAGTCGACATCCATAAATTCTCTTCTTTATGTGTATCACTTCTAAATGTCATTCAAAGACTACATAAAGGTACCTAAACCTCATAATCTGACATATATCAGAATATTTATGAATACACTATTGCTCTCAATACCCGAGGAGTGTACTGTATGATTATATTTGTAATTACATACATGATTCTTCATAAGAGAAATTCACTTGAAACACAAACCGCGTACAGATCGGTATGACTAGACTGTCAAAGGTAACAACAAATGAATATGACCGAGATGTACACGAGAAATATTTTTACTCATGGCATAAAAACAATATTGTGGCTATGTAGCCATGCTGCGTTCCAAACACAACTTCTGCACTTGTACACAGCAGACGTAATTCAAAATGAATATATCGGTTTTCAGTTTCCACAAAAAGCAGTTATCGTGTCACTGGATTTTCTGTCTGGTCCATTACTTGATTCTCTGGTCTCTTTAAAGACAACCGTCGCATGGAAGGCAACATACAACGCTTCATGCAAATTGTGTGAGTGGCAGGTGTTAACGGTAGGGCAGGACATGTTAACCATTCTTACTGATTTTCAGTGATCTATTCATATAATTTCCACAGCTATTTTGCTGTTATGTCCAATAGAATCTGTATTGGCGGATATTCGAGACAAGTTGTTCTATGGTGTTGATGTTTTATAACTATTCAAAATATATTTTGTGCTGTTACCTGCTGCAATACTGAATTTTAAGGGTCGTGTCTATAAGATGTTACCACATTTGTAGACTGTAATAATGTGTTGTGGTGTAAAAAAAGGTTTACACATTCTAAGCTGTAAACATGCTTTGAATTTATGTCGCTAAAAGGAACAAAGTCTTTGTGTGTTTTAACTCTACACGCTAATGACACGCACATGTCAGGCGCTCAATATCCCCAAAGTGCGGACTGTTGTTACCGGTGTCATTCATTAGTTCCCTCACCCCACCCCACCCCACCCCCACCCCACCCCCACTGGCGAGTCATCACGAGGTACGTTTACATATATTTACTGTCGTAACAATCGTTAGATCAGGAGTCAAGAAGAGTCAGAAGAGATATGTCAACCGTGCGATGTCAATCGAAACACATTTAGACATTAAATACTTGATAATCTGAATATTTCATCTTTATCCTTTGATAAATACAGCAGCAAGCAAGAGTCGAGCAAAGATTGCAGAAATGTACAAAGTTAACGGACATGTTTAATATCTTGCTTGGTGTTGATGTTGTCATATTGTTAGCATCCCAGAGCAAGATACACCAAGTACCAGAACTGTTTAAACGTTTTAGAGGGTTACAGGGTTACAGGAATGGGGGGGGGGGGGGGGGGTCCGGTTGGTCGATGGGTCGGTGGAGTGTGCCCACCTCTAATATGAAAACAGAGATCATATTAGTTGACTACAAATTAGCTGAGAGAATGATAAGGATAAGATCTTATTAAAATTATTTTAACTCACATTCTTGTGCCACTTAACGATACACTGCTTTGGACCCAAGCTTCAATAGCGTAATTCCACTGAGCTGGGATAATCAAGACTGGGTATCCTCTGGATCTAGAATATTGTGAAATGTGATATTCTTATGGTGATGTCTGGTTATAAATTCAAAGAAGACAGCTTTCTCAATAGTGCTGACACATGTTGAAATGTTAAAGAACTTGTCAGTTTGGATTGAGCCCCCTAGAAGTGTTCCTAAACTCGGCTAGAGTATTCGTCCTCCTGCTATACTTTTGAACAGCCTGAATGACCTAGGCTATGCCCAGACTTCTAACACTGAAAAGGCAGCTACAATGTTTCCACTAGAAGATGCTTTCAAGCAACACATGTTGAAAGCCATGTTTCAGACGACAATATGGCTGCAGATATATCAGTCATCTCATCTGCAGTGACAGATCTGGACTGACACATACTGAACTCTGCACCTGCTCTGGTTGCCAAAACTCTGCAGACGATGATGAACCTGAAGGCTTGAGTGACACTGGCAGTGATGGCAGTGACTAAATGTTTCTTACTGTATTGGAGAAAAATAATGGATTTTTTAATGAGTTACTGACAATATTGAAGCAATAGCAAAAAAGTCCTTCACATTGACACTTCAAAGAAAGTTAATATGATCAGCAATTATAGTACATAATATAGGCGAAAATTATCTTATATATGAAAATAACACGACAGAGGGAGTTCCTGGTCGAAACCTAAATTTTGACACTTGAATTAAAGACATTTAAGACGAAATATTGTCATTTTCCTGTATTGGCGGCCATCATGGAGGCCATTTTGTCCGCCATATTGGATAAATAAAATTTCTCAAGCTCATATATGTAAGATACTTAAACGATCCATACGTTCAAATAAAATAATTTGGGGTACAAGTGGAGTCATTGTAACTTTTTAAATATGCTATTATAAAGTTGTGTCTTTTTAAACAGGACGGGGGGTGGGATCACATTTATTAAATAGAAATGGGATCGGCTTCAAGTTTTTGTACTTTTATCGGGCATGCGTGTGTGTGTTGCTGCTTGAACTGTTCCGGAATAATAGTGCCAGCACACGAAATACCATGCAGTTTAACATGTGTACCACTATCGGGGACATTATACTGACTCCAAGCCCATCAGTCCTTGTTCTATCTCTTTAGTGCCGAGCGTAAGGTAGGGTCACAACAAGTACCATCTTTCAACGTCTTTTGGCAGTCCACAACACGGTGGCTGCATATGGTAGCTACAGTGTGTTGAAATGTGCGAGCGAATGTTCAAAACGCTCGTGTGACTCCTTCACTGTCGAAGGTAAGGATTACATGAAGTGTCCACGGGTGTTCGAGATTGTCCAACTCTCTGGTGATGGTATTGGGTACAGTTTGGTTTCCAGAAGGTATTGCACCCGCAGGGTTTCATGAATCTGAAATCTTCATTAAGCAACTGCAAAACTGAGCGAAACGGTATGCCTATCATCTGCCGAGCATCAATCGTACAAAACTGTCCTTTCTCCGGATGAACTCTGACATTTTTAAAGATCAGTGTTAACAGCTAAGATTCCTAAAACCGGAGCTGCACATATCAATTTCTTTACTGATGCTGTGCCACCCGCGTCGATCGGGGAGCATTCAATTGTCTTGTTTGTGACTGTTTTTAGAGCTGGTAAAACTTGTTAGATTTCATACGTACGTGTCATGGCCTTTACTGATATGATATTTCTTGGAATATCCCTTTGCGGTTAAACAGAAACTCCATCAGTACTTTGCTTGTATTTAATTGATAGAGCGTTCCATGGTGATCAAATATAAACAAGCATCCGTTTAGGGTATATGTTAAACTGTGGAGTGAAGTGAAATTGGATTAAACGTCGTCTTCAAGATTATTTTACTAATCATGGCCATGCATGTGTGTGTGTGTGTGTGTGTGTGTGTGTGTGTGTGTGTGTGTGGCTGTTTGTAACTAGTCCGGAATAATAGTGCCAGCACACGA